GAATACCACTGCAAATTATCTCGCATACTTAGGTCTAAAAGGCTCTGAAGGCTCTGAGCTAAAATCTGTCTACTAGCAACATTGTTATGTGTAAGATGATTTCTAACCACCCCAATGAGATCAGGAGGCGTTATAGTATCCACAAAATTCTCGATATTGATATTTGGACTAAGCGAGGAAACCAGCTGATCTACGGCTTCTTTACTAATTTTATAACACCCCCTCAAATTAAGATATTTTAAATTAAGACATGATCTGGCAATTTCTTCGATAGTTATATTGCTAATTTTACAAAAGCTAAGGTCAAGATGCTGGAGCCTTGGGCAAGAGCGAATAACATTACAAATTGATATTTCAGAAAATTCTGTGCGATTAGAGATATTTAGATATTCTAATCTATGGCATGAATTTGCAATTGCAGATAAACCTATATCATTTTCTGATTTAAATCTTAAACGTAAAGCAGATATATTAAGATACTCCAAATTTGGATATGATTTCGCTATTAGCTTTAGAGTTTTACCAATACAGTCTGTACTTTCTTCGAAATCTAAATGAATTATATTTTGGAAAGTATGTACAATGCCTTTGATTTTTTTATTTGAAAGTGAAGGGTAGCGTGTTATTTTAAGATGAGTTAGTTTTGAGCTATAAACTGGCTTTCTTCCTCCTCCGGGTACTATTTTTAAAAATCTTTCTAATCGAGTTCGATTTTCTGCTTCCCCTCCCTTTAGCTCAATGCGTCTCCATAAAATGGTAGCACCGCATCTGTACCACAATCGGGAAACAAATAGAGCGGGGTAGAGAGATTTATCTATCAATAAAAAATGTAAAATCGGTTCTAATAGTTCTAGTAAATAAAAGATGGTTAAATGCGTCATGCGAAGCGCCTCTGGCTAAATAGTCTGTATTATATGTTGTATCTTTAATCGAAAAAATAAATTAGCTATAGCACGGAATGATCACCGCTCCGGACTGGCTGGCTTTGAAGAACAATCATCTTTTTGCGCAAACTCTAGCTCCTGTGCCAATCTATCCAATGTTAATTTAAGACCAATTATATATGCTTCTTGTCGAAATTCAGGTGCAACCCCTGCTAGAAACACCTTTTTAATATTTTTATTCGCATCTTCTATAATATCATCTAAACTTTCCATATTGTGTAATTTGATAGTAAACCCCATACTTTGTTATAGGAGCCTATATCCTTAATTGAAAAAATAATATTAATGTATGCAAGTGGCTTCCCTATCCGCTTGCTCATATACCAGAAAAAAATATATAATATTCATGTTAATGCTGTAACTTGTCTTCCCTGTATATATTCACCATTCACTAGTCTAGCTTATAAAAAGCTTTGCCAGAAGACAGTTAGATTGACATTGCTCTGAGCATTTGTTCTATTTCTTCATCTGATCTTTCACGATTCTCCTCTTTAGCTATATGATAATAAAGCTCATATAATTCCTCTAGGCTGGCACACAAATCTTTGTCTGCATACCTACTTCGATAATTTTCTAGCCTTAAATTGTATGCCTCTTCGCTAGGGAACATCTTGATTGCAACTGTCTTAATATAGTCATTCGGATTCTTTTCAGCTCGTAATTTCTTTAGATATTCTCCATAATTTTTTGCAAGATTATCATATTTTTTCCCCTTTCGCAATGCAGTTTTTATGACTTTGATTTGCGCAAGTTCTATATCCTTATGATCAACCATGTCTGTATTGTTTCTACTATAATGATAGAAAAACTTTAATTAATAAAATTATATTCTTTGATAATTTTTTACCCGGAAAAAATATTTGTTATAAAGCATCTATTCCTTGACACGAAGTCTAACTTTCATAGCCCTTTCTTCTGCTTCCTTAGGAGCTATTTTGGATGCCACCAGGCGTTTATATAGTCCAATTCGCCAATGACCATATGGGAGAGTTCGAATTCCATCAAGTAAGATCCAGCGCTTGTTATCATATGGATTTAACCTTATTTTATTTACTCTCTCCAGATATATTTGATGATCATAACTTCGGAGACCATACATATCATGTCGGGTTAATTTCTTATTCCTTAGACATTCTAGTAATTTGTCATGTCGAATCTCCTTTTTTACCACGCATTTCTTAACACCCTTAGCCTTCTGGATGCCATGCTTTTTCTCCCAATACTTTACACCTTGAGATTTTCTAAATTCTTCCTCTTCTAACTCTTTCTCAAAATCTGCATCTGTTTCAGGAGTTTTAGGATCATGGCCTGCTGGAAGGACTGAATACATCTTTGGCTTTAAACATACTGATTCACCTATTGGATTCCCTTTTGTCTCATCCTTCATTAGAAATAAGTCTCCTGAATAGTTAAGATCGAAAATGTCTGGTCTTTCTGCTCGATCTTTATAGATATCCTCAGTTTCTATCCACATGATAAGCGAGTCTGTATCTGTATAAAGTAGACGGCTTTATCTCCATAGCGAGGCTTTATGTAACCATACCAAAAGTTATACATCATGGCCTTGCTAATGTCGAGAATTGCCTGCCCCACATAAATTGGTTTATTTAGAGTTACTGTTCCTTTTAACATGTGGACTGCTGTGATGCCCCCTTCGAATGCTTTAAAGCCTACAAATAATGGTGAACTTGCTAGGCGCCTGATTTTTTTATCCTCTTCTGTTCGGAGTAGCTCTACTCTCATATGTTTACTGACATTCTCCATCTGTTTACCGAATACTGCATTATTTTTTAGCTTATAATACATTACCCCGAACTCATCTCCATTGGCTTTTGCTATTTTGCGTTTACGAATATTTTCCTCAATATATTCTTTCATCCATGTAGACTGCTGGAATTTGAGAGCGCCGTGGATCTTTGTAACCTTTACCCCAAATTTCATATATAGCTGGAGTGCACGATAATGGACCACGTAGTTCTTTTTGGGATAAAGGGTTTGGATGAGCTTTTCACCTGTTGTATATTTTCCACCCCCAACTGCTTTATCATGTACTAATCTTTCATTATATGGACTTAACCAGTTTTCAGGTACTATTTGCTTTTCTGGTGCCAGAGGGTAGTCTGCAAAGAAGTTATGTAAGTGCGCCGGAACTTCTAAGTCTACTTCAAGCATATAGCCTATTTCTGCATCAGGCGCAATAGTTTGAATATCTGGTACCTCTTCTGGACCTACCTTGCCTATGATCTCTGTTGGCATATATTGTGTCATTGCACCTGAATATAAAGCATTCATATCCTCATATAATATCCAAGTTGTAGGTTTACTAGAATCGTAATCTGGACATTTCAGATTATTAGCTTTGGCATATCGGTGACTTGCCATTGTCATACCGCCTCGAATACCTTTCTCAACCATCAGATACTCATCTATATCCGTCATAAGCTTGAGTTCAGCTCCACTACTCTTGTATAAAGAATCATTGAACATTCCAGGTGCTGAGACGTAATGAGAGGGGTCTAAACTATCATCTTGCAAACACATAATAGTATAATTCATGAACACATCGGCAAGTAACAGTACATCTGTCTCAAGATAAAGATCATGGTATTCTCTGAAACTTTTCATCTCAAATGTCTGCCATACTTTTTGAGCGTGTTCATAGTCCTCCTTACTGATATTTTGCTGACTGAGAAGCGAATAGAAATCCTTTCTAGGCGGGAGGCTTGTTCTGTCGAATTTTTCCCATGCATTTGTCCAGTCATATGGGAATACTCCTTTTCGTAAAAGAAGCTTTATCTTATCTATTGAGTAGCCTTTCTCTGTGAAATGCTTAACATTTAGGGGTAACTTTTCTGGGTTTTCTCCTAGACATGCTACTAATTTATCTAAACCCATTGCCATATGCTGAAAACTATCTAGAAATTGGAGTTGTCCTACTTCCATTGCTTTATATTTTCCTATATTTTCTGGTATTCAATTTAGCTTATCTGCCGTTAACTTGCTCACAACTTTCATAAGTGGATGTGATTCATACCCTCTGAAATTATGTCAGATTAGTGGCACTTTTGTTTCTAAAGATCCTATTCGCAACTTTTTATTTCATTTTTCATGAGCTGGTCCTCGGTATTTTCCATTTATATGTTCTTGATCTTTTACTTTTTGATTTATTTCACTTAAAGCTTTTTTTTATTCTTTCTGTTTCTTTTTCTTTTTTGGATGTTCTTTTTCCATTCTTGTTTCCCATTCTTTTTTTTCTAATAATTTTTGCTTTGCTTCTTCGATTTTTTGTATTACTTCTTGTGTTTGTTTTATAAAAGGTTTCTTGCAAATCCAGCATTCTGTTGCTTCTTTTTATGTTTTCAGTTCTCCTGGTGCCATTATCATTTCTGCTGGCGCTGATAAGTCCTCCTGTATTTTTTCCTGCTCCTCCTCTATTTTTGTAACGAATCTTTCAAGTGCATCTGGTCCTCTGTATATATCATGACTCATAATCTCATATTTAAGTGAACTTTCCATACGAACAACTACATATCAATAGCCACATGGCTTTTGCTTCTGTATTCTTTCTGTATGGGTTATTTTTGTTTTTTCTTCTGGGGTTATCTTTTCGGTTAACATTTCTAGATCCCAGAAAATGCGATATGGATTTGGTTGCATGTATTTATGATTATAGAAAGCTTTGACACTCCTATTCTTCACCGGCATTTGCGGGCGCTGAGGGGCATTATTTAGATCCTTGCATTTTGGCAAATGTTCATTGTATCTTATCTCTGAAGAGTATACATGAAGACAATAACGGCAGAGGTATTTTCGCCCTTTATGTTTGCTATGATTGTATACTAGCTTATGTAAATCTTTGATAATACAGTAATGGCTTCTATCATCTTCTGTAATTACTAGAAGATTTATTTGCTTGTATTCATCTCCTCTTCTTTCTGTAACATAGCGAAAGTTAAGACATTTGTTTTGGTTGTGCCATTTATAGACACATAGACTGATTTCAGGGTTATTTTCTTCAAACTTTTCATAAACTGGTGTTGAGACTGGTACTGGAATTGGGATGTCTTCCATATTAAGTTCCTCCACGAAATCTCCATATAGCCGATTCGGATTTCTTTCTGGATGAACTTTAACTGGATGCAAAGCTCCTAGAACACTCCACCCGAAACACCAGTCATCATTATTTTGAATATTTATAATTCCATTATTACGTTTCGGCAAAGTTTCTGGCAAAGGTATATAGGCAGTAGGACCAATCGGATCGAAATCAGCTATCTCTATACTAAATTCTTCTATATATTCTGGGTAAGCATCAGACATTTGGTATATTAGTTAATTCTAACCGTCGCGCTATTACTTGCTTATAAAATTTTTTCTTTAATTAATTATTTCCTATTCTTTTCAATTTCCGATTATATAGTTGTCACCTAAGGCGGTATTTGCAGGCTTGCCAAAATGGTTTTAGCTACCCACAGATCGATCAAGGGAAACTGAAGCATTAACTAATTATTAATTAATCTTTTGAAAATTAGTGATAAAAAATAGGATGATCGCTGAATATTCCTGCCCATTTCTCTGCAATACTGGAAAGGCTTGTAATAACCCTTGCATTCGCCCAGAAGGTTGCCGATTTCATAGAAAATCAAAAAAACGGATACCATGCTCTGACTGCGGGAAGCCTACCTCTTCTTCTTGTGGCCGATGCCCGTTACATATCAGAGGCTATTATTTTACCCAGTACTATGACAGATTGCGGACTAAAGCTTTAAACCTGGAATATACTAAGGGTATAATAGGAATGTAATGTATTCTCGTTAGATTTATTTAGATCATGATTTTTATGTGCTCTAGCTTGCCAGAATTATTTACTGATATGTGATTTTTTCGTTAGACTTATAAATTCCCCCAGCAGGGCAGAAACATTAGACAAATAAATAATGTATTAGATAAGGAGTTAGCCTGTACGAAGCCAATTCCTGATATATATTTTTTCGTTAGATTAATAAATTCCCGGCAAGGCGGACAGACTTATTTTTCAGAAGCTGATTTGCTATTCGGTTATCTAGACTCCACTGAACCTGTTCTCAGCTTTGGAAAAGTTGGGACAAAAATCTCGTTAGATTTATTTAGCAATTATGCTATTTAATGAGCTAGCTTGTATAGAAGGCATTCTTGTATATAGAAAAGTTCGTTAGATTTAAAAAGACACATGATTTTTTGTTAGACTTATTTTCGTTAGACTTATTTATTAAATATGCTAATTGATGCGCTAACCTGCATTAAACCCGTTCTTGATTGAGAAAAAGTTGGAACAAAAATCTCGTTAGACTTATTTTTTTCGTCAGACTTATTAATAAATATGCTAATTGATGCGCTAGCCTGCATTAAACCTGTTCTTGATTGAGGAAAAGTTGGGACAAAAATCTCGTTAGACTTAAGAAAAAACGTTAGACTTATTTATGAGGTAATAAGGACCGTTAGACTTATTTTCGTTAGACTTATTTTTTCGTTATACTTATTTATGGGGTAATAAGGACCGTTAGACTTATTTTGGTTAGACTTAAGTAATTAATATGCAATTTAATGAGGAAAATCGCGCAGAATCAATTCCTGATATACATTATTTTGTTAGACTTAATAAATATAACCGAAAAAATGATATAGAAATTAAGATTCTAGAGCATAAAGAAGCTCTTCTAATATAATAAGAAAAATCAATATGCTTCCTGAGGTTGGATAAGCCACACAGAATTAAGAAATATAATATCAAAATTAAGATTCTAGAGCTGATAGAAGCTCTTCTAATATAATAAGAAAAATCGATATTGTTTTTAACGTTCTGTGACCCACACACACATTGTTTCAGTGGGGGCTGGACCTTCAGTCCTTAAACCCCCACTTTCACATTGTGTACAGTATATCAATCTATGCTCATATTTTTTGTTATCAGAACAAAGGGCAAATGGAGAGTCCGAAAGTTCGAAAGAAAGACGAATACTAAATGGGAATAATCACGGGAGGAAGCCCGATTTTCGTGTACTCTCGAAGATAAATGACGTAAATATGGAATTTTTATTTGGCGAGATCAAACCTCCGAGTAATTCAACTTCCATAAACAAAGGTATTGTAAAGTTGGCAGAATTCACAAAAGAGTCGTTAGACCTTATTATTAATAGTTATGGTTATGTTGACGGTCTGGAAATATATGGAATATTGATTCATGGTAAGTTATCGATCACTATTGTAATTTTATGATGTTTTAATGCCGAGCTAATTAGATTTAAATCCAATAGGAAACAAAATCAAGATATTTAGCATGGATTTAACTTTTGACGGTTTATACCATTATAATCAATTATCAAAAACCTTGTTGCCAACAGAAAATGCGAATTTCCTAAACATACTTACTGTAATTTCTACATTTTATTCTTTATTGGTAAGGGTCTTACTTTATAGTTCAAACAAGTTGCTTTGCAGTTTAATCACTAATTATTTTTATTATGTAGGAAAGGATAAGATCCACCATTGTAACTATGAATTCATCTAAACCATTATTGTCATCCTCTGGTCACTTGTATTGTCAAAAGTCGAATTCGTCACCTAAAAAAATTCGTGTACCGATAGTTAGAGTTTAATCACACAAATTCAAATGTTGACTTGAAATTAACAGTATTGTGCTTTTATGTTAATATAATTACTTATAATATTGATGTATGTGTGCGCTGTACGTATAATAATAAAAATATTAGCAATATTCATGGTATTATAATATTGTCAGACAAATGCATTATATTATTTTGGTAATTTTTTGCCATTTATCTTTGCAACCTTGTAGTGAACACTGAAACATGTCGGAAAAGTAAGATTTATATGGAAATTTTCGTGTTTGTTATATAAATGTCAAGTGCGTACTAACCCATATATTTTTTGCACATTTTGATCAATGAAATGATAATCAAGAAAAATCAGATCTGATTGGCCGATCATCTTGTGATTTATGAAAACTCGCCAGCTCCTGGAACACTTCTAGAACTATCGAGGAACTGGCAGTGGAGCTAGGTGATACATGTGATACGATATACCCTATGAAAAAAATTCTGGAAAAAACTCCGATGAATGATCAATTTTCTAGTTTTTATTCCAAAGAAACACAGGAACGTGATCATTTTTATGAAAAATTTTTTATAGGAATACAGTACATTATGCCAAACTGATTTAGCCGAAAGCGCTGTGCATATGCATGTAAATATAAAATCCGAAGGGATATGACCCTATATAAATCCCTATAATCGAATAAAAATGAATTTGAGTTTAGTAGTGTGTAGTCTCTCAAATCGGCTACAAATCGATAAAGTTGCTTATAAAAATGAATCTGATATTTATTAGAGTATAATATCTCTAATCAGTCAAAATCGGCTATAAACTATAAATCAATAAAATCGTTATATTCTGTTATAATCTACTAAAACGCTAATATGGATTTAGATAGTAAAGCCTATTCCAAGTTAATTCATGCACACAATAGTGTTGGAAGCTCTGAAGAATATATAAGAATTATTGTTGCAATATTGCCTTTAGCAGAAAGACATGATCATGAAACACCAGAAATGTGGTGTTCTCGTATTTGTGATCCATTTAGGAAAATACTAGAAGAGAACCCAAGAATCCTTTCTAAGAATGGATATATTACAATGTATAGAAAGCTATATGTAGATGATAGGATTCATAATCGTCCAACCAATTATATATATTGCAGTGTATGTAACTCCTTAGTTTTCACACCTGCAAATAGTCTTTTTGAGGATCGCTATGGAGATAANCAACCTTAGTTGTAGCTGGTATTCGATTTGGTCAAGCCGTATGGTGGCTAAAAACTCATTTCCCTACAGTAGAAGAGGAACTTCGGGATTTGATGTATAGAACAATCAGAAAGGGAGACATGACTATAGATGAATTATATAGAAAAATATTATGAATAGGTAGACCTGTCTCTTATACACATCTAGATGTGTATAAGAGACAGAGCTAGAGCTTTTATCCCAATCTACTCTACATTCAGAAAAGGATAAATTGGCATCGGTATCATATGATATTGATGGAAATTTTACGGCTAGCTATGAAAATTATGCACAATCTAAAGCAAAAGATACTATGCCAAATGCTCCAAATTTCGAGCCAGCTTATATTTTACCTACTAGACAAGAAATGATTTTACCAACTTCTTATCAATCATCAAGTCCTAGCCAAAGGCGTTCAGAGCAAGAGATTACAAGTAAAATAATTATCTCATCTTGGTATGCTAAACAAAATAACTTATTACCATCTATAGACCATCTTAATCAGCCTGCATTAAGATTGAAAGATGGTACAAAAATCACATTCGTTTAACGACTGAGAAATATATTAATTATAGACTATTGAAGATTAATATCATTTAGCTAAAGGCGCAATGTATAATTTTTTATGCTAAATAATCTGCATATATGATCGCCTAGTAAAATTGGTTGAAGGCGCTATACATTTCATGTATCACCTGCCAAATTTTCCAGATTAGTCCTTAACCCAGATCTTGGTTAAGATCATGCACTTTCTAAGGATTGATATAAATTGATCCAAGAGGTTCTCCTCCCATTCTCTTTTATAATCACGAAAAAAAGAATGTCATTTTGCAGATCTCACCCAAGGCGAAGAAGAACATGTGAAGAACATAAAGCTGAGTTGGAAGAAGAGAACTATCATCTTCGTAGTAAATTGCAGATAGAAGTTGATACTAATCGCCAGAATGAGAAATGAATTAATCAACTGGAATGGGATTATGTCCGATGTGAGCAAGAAATTCAAGATCTCAATAGAGAGATAGAGCGTCTTGAAAATGCTTCAAAAGAAGAGATAGTAGAATTAAAATCTGAAATCTCCAGCCTAAAAAAGCAACTATATCAAGCTAAGAAGGATATTTGTAATAATGAAAAACATATTTCTAGTATAGAAAATCAGTTAGTAGATTCTAAGGAACAGGTAGAGAAATTACGATGTCGAATCAGAACCATCTTATCACGAAAAAATTTGCCAGAACGAGGGAATTCTCCAGACTTATATAATCCTAATATTAACTTAGAAATGGCTACCATTATAGAGCTAGCAAATGCTATAGATGGTTATCTGAATAGTACAACAATAGGTAGAGAAATCTTAGCTGATCAAATAAAAAGGGCAACAAGGCAGATTCGCCAAAAAGAGAATAATTTGCATCAGGATTTAGTCCGTAAGCAACGAAGGCGATATGATGCAGAGGCTGAGCGTGATAATGAAATTATACAAAGGCAAAATGCTGAAGGAGTGGAACAAATGGTTATTGCTGACCTTTATCAGTTGCAGACCAATGCTCGAAATTAAGTAAATAGAATGTTAGACAATATAACAGGAAAGCAAACCTGTATTGGTATATTGCTACAGGAAAAATTTGCCTTACAATTGCTGTATCAGCGAAATGCCCATCACTTATAGCGAAGTAGAGAGAATATAGGTCTGTTAGAATTTAATCGTGATAGGCTCTATGAGCGATACGAGAAATGGAAAAATAAAACCCAAGCAGAGCAACAGAATAATTTAAATTTGCAGGGACAAATTTTGGCGCTTCAGAATAATCCACTTAATCAAGTAAACATGGCAGGAATACCTCATCCATATTTTGACTGGGATGATAGTATCCCAGACTTTCTTGCGTAACTTAGACTAGACTTGCAGAATCGGGGAATAGATCCAAATGATAATGCAGCAGGTCCTCCAACAGGAAGAGATAATGCAATAGGACATTTAAGAGCCTGTATGAGAGGAAGGACTTTAAAATGGTTTGATGATGAGATTACTATAAAGCAGAATTGGGAGCTAACTAACTTACTCAATAATACAGGGCAGACTAACTTAGTTGCAGTAAATGAGCGAACTGCAATACAGATAGGAGCTAATGCATTAAATGAGACTGTTGGCCAACCAGGAAATGCAATAGTCAAGTTAAGAGCTGTAGAAGATGCTTGGAATGAAGACTGACGTATAGCAGGTAGCTGTCCTACTAATGCTCCTGTAAATGCACCAAATGCTAATGCTGGAAATACAGTAGTTGTAGCTAAGGTTGCTTGCCGAAACCTAGGGGTTTAGGCAAGATGGCGTTTCGCTGAAAAGCGAAATTCTGCCGAAACTATATTAAAGTTATATTAAAAAACTGGCGAAACTCTAGAGAAAGGCGAAACTGCCGAAACTTATTATAAATGCCGAAACTGCCAAAACTCTGCCGAAACTATAATAAATCTATAGTAAAATTTTGACAAAACTAATCATAGGATTTTGAAGAGGTTTAGACAAGCAACCTTAGTTGTAGCTGGTATTCGATTTGGTCAAGCCGTATGGTGGCTAAAAACTCATTTCCCTACAGTAGAAGAGGAACTTCGGGATTTGATGTATAGAACAATCAGAAAGGGAGACATGACTATAGATGAATTATATAGAAAAATATTATGAATAGGTAGACGAGCCAACTATAGACCTGAAGAATTACGTAAAAAGTTCTTAGATGCTTTACCACTTTTATGGCTTGAAAAAGCTGAAGATATTGGTGAGCATTTGTCATTAGATGAATTAGCTAAAAAGCTTTATGAGATAGAATTACGCCGAATAGCTAGACATAAAAGAAATAGAATATCTGATCTGCTAGTATCTAATCGAGCATCTCGGCAAATATATGAACTTCCACCTGTTTCAGCCTCACAACAGCATGGAATATCTTTAGAAGATATGCAAAAAGCAATCCAGAATGCACTAGCACAGCAAAAAACTGAATACCAGTCTTTATTAGAAAAACAAAAAGCTGATTTTCAATTACAAATGGCCCAGCAAACTAAAAAGATACCTCCACCAGTTCCTCCTAAAGATATGGAACAGATTCTTGATACATATGAAAGCGCTAATTATTTCCCTGATACACTTACTAGGGAAGAAATAATGAGAGTGGTCGCAAAAGCTTATGGGCCACCTCCTAAACCGCAAAAGCCAGAAAAGTTGCAATCATCTAGAATCGATAGATTAGAATCAAAAATAGATGAAATTGGTCAGATGACATCTAAGTTTGGTACGATATCACTTAATGATCAATCTCGAAAGCCTTTTTATTGCAGTAATTGCGGACAGAAAGGGCATAAGAAAAACAATTGCCCAAGGTTAAATCCTGTAGCTAAATCTAATTTTACTCAATATTACTATCCTCAACTTCCATTTACACAGCCCCAATATATGCCTCCAGATTCAGATAATGAGGAAGATGGTTATGATAAAGTAGAAAATGGGTGGTATTATGCACCAGAAAAAAAAACAGTCACTAGTAAATGAAAAATTGTCTTCAGAATCCAGCCAGCCTGAAACGTATAACGAGCTATTGCCAAAACTTTCACTGGCAATGCGCAAAATGTGTCTATCTTGAAAGGCTCAGGAGGAGAAGTCAAAGAAAGATGAGTAGTTTTCATCCCTATAATACTTAAATGCTAGTATAAATGACTTACCAATTTCTGAATCTTTTTTAGATAACGGAAGTGAATTTGATGGATTTAATTTAGCTACTGCTGAAGAACTTGGATGGAAAGTTGATAAGCCTTCCAAATTCGCTGTAAAAGGTAATTCTGAACATATTTCTGAAGCACTGGGATGGTATATAAATGTAGCAGTCACTCTAAAGGACATGAAAGGAAATCCAATCATCACTATTATTGGAAATTATGCGTATGTTGATAATGGTAAGCCCAAGCCAATGCTATGGTTAGGTATGACAGGAATTTGAAAAGTCAAAGGTATTTCTGATCTGACTAAAAATCAGTTTCACATAGAGGATCATGGAAAGACATATATTATCCCAACTTTTAGCAAGGCTCCAGTAGTCAAAGATCCGCCAAAAGAGGAGCAGGACCAAACATCCACCAATTCTTCTAACCTGACTGGTGAAAAGGACTTAAAAAAAAGTGCGTAAACTGCATGAACTATAAGAATATGGCAATTTGTATGAGAGAGCTCGAAAAGGCATTATTTTCTAGCATTCAATCAAATTTGGAAATTATAGGATATTATAATAGTTTACGCAGTCAGATTGAATAGGACGAATAACTATTTGGTAATAAGAGGACGACCTCTTGCTTTAATTCCTTCTAAAGTATTATCAGTTTTCTTATATAAATCCAAGACATCTTCAGAGAATTCAGTAGACGAAATAATTTCTTTTTTTGCCCCTGGTATTCCATTTTCATTTTCACATAAATCCTTAGTATTAGATATGTGAATAGACTTGGACTTAGGTTTCTTTCCTCCGGTCTTTTTTATCTTACTCCCAGAAATAATATTGCATTCTACAGGATCTGCTTACTGAGTCGAACCAGGTTCTTCTGATAATGATTTTATGTCTTTAGGGTCTATTGGTGGGTAAGCATCTCTCCAAATTTGATATACCCACCGTGTTAATATTTTATATTTGTTAGCCATAACTTCTGATGCCCGTTTCATTGAATTTTTAGCTTTAATAATATCTTGAATATCTTCAGCTGATAGATGGGTCACATCTGAGCGTAAATACTGAATCATTTTTTTTACAAATAATTAGAAAAAATATATTTTCAAAAAATAATTGATATGTAATCGATATATTTTCAGTAGTTTTTTGGTATACATTTAATAAATATTCGGTATTACTAATTAATTTTTGATAGATTCAGTTTATTCAGTATATATTCGGTACATTCAGTGCATTCGGTGTATTCAATGTATTCGATACACTCAGTTCATTTGATCCAGAAATTTTGCTCATAAATTTTTACTATACTAATGACTAAGCCGAAAAAATATGCCCAATGTACATACTTTAAGAGATATCGAGAATAGAGGGACAGTTGAAGGTTCACTAGGTAAACACATCCCTTCAGGTCATTAGCTTGGTAGCATCCGCGAATCAAAACTTGAGAAAGCATTGCGTGGTAGTATCAAAACTGCTTCTGATATTACTAATGATTATAAAGACCTGCAGGACATATATTTAGAGCAAGTGAAGGATTTTAATCGTATCTGTTCAGACTTTAACAATAAGTTTAGTCGGCTGAATACAGCTAATACTGAGCTTAAAGCCAAATATTCTGCTGAAATCAAATCGCTCAAATCCAATATTAAAATACTAGAGAGAGAGACAACTTTGGCCCAGAAAGCTTCGTTCGCTGACAAGGTCCAGATTCTTTTTCTTGAAGTTAAAATACGTGAATTGGAAGGTAAGTTGGAGGACATAGATCTAGAGCGTACATATTATGATTTGGATGTAATGGGAGGAATGATGGAAAAGCCAGTAGAAATGCCAAAGTTACCAGATTGGCTTTATGATAATTTAAGAAGTATTGTCTGTGAGCTCGAGTTCAAAGATAAAGTAATGGAACTTGATAAAAAACTTGCTAAGGAAGATATATTGGAAGTGTTGCAAAAAGTAATATCAGAAAAAGACCACCATCTTCAAGATGCCAATGCTCGCCTAGAAAAGGCATTATCAGAGAAAGATTCCCTCCTTCATGAGGCCAATACTCGTATAAAAAAATACTTAGCCAGTTTTGAAAAAAAAACTAGTCCTGATTCTTTTGAGATCTCGCAGGTAATTGGAGGAACTGATATCTTCAATACTACTTTAGCATTACCCCACTTGTGCTTTATTACTGGATCAGAAGCAGGTGAAACTAATTCCTTTTTTTTTCAGCATGCAATCATCTTCATAATAGTATTACTAATCATATACTTTCTATGGCATATACTCTCTCACCTATACTCTTCCAACTCACCTTACAATGAAGAAAAAAATATTTCGAACTATAAAATACTCTTAAATAAAAATCAGAGTTATGGATTCCTGATCCAATACACAGAAGAACCAAAAGACAGGACTACCACTTATGAAACTTCGTCTTTTGGATATGGATGAAGTCACAAAGCATGAATCATCCTGAAATATTGGCCATCCGACGATGACATGGACTTTTAGCAAGTTAGTTACTGGAAAAAGTGGTTCAGGTAAGACTAATTTACTTGGAAATCTTGTTATTGGTGATAAGGATGAATATGTGCAAAGAGGGGAGGAAGGACTGGAAGGTGGGTCTCGCTACATTAAATGTGATGATCTAATTGTTTGTGGGTATCATCCTGATAAGCCAAAATGGGGATATGTGAGGTATATATATAATATGATTTCAAATGATCCAAAAGCGCCTTTCTATGAGGATATTAGTTTCAGGTACATTCCACCCGAAAGAATTCCTAATACAAAAGCATTCTCACCTAAAAGAAGCACACTAATTATTTTTGAGGATCTATGCTTAGTCTCTGAACATATATAGAATTGAATTAGCCAATTTTTTGGGAATGGACATCATCAAAATATTTCAAGTATATATGTAATCCAAAAATACCATAAAGTCCCTACATTCATTTGTGAGAATATCTCCCATCTAGTAATGTATAACGGTGGTGGTAGCCAATAAGATGTGTCCAAGATAGTTGGTCGTTATACTGATGATGTGAAAAATGCATCCATGGTTATTAATAGCTACCTTTGAAGAGGTGAATTTATTGTATTTGATCTCACTAGGCTGAAAGATGATCTTCTTGCAATCCGATTAAGGTTTGACACTCCACTAAATCTGCAGAAGGAAATAGAAGCTAGGCAAAAGTGTAAGGAAAAAAGCTCTTTAGCTAATGAATAGAATCTGACTTTATAGATGCTAACTTTTTTTTCGTAATTATAAAAATTAGAATGGGAGAACCAGTTATTTATATCGATTTTCAGAAAGTACAAGACTTAGATCGGGATCTTGCTTTCCAAAAACTTTATTACAAACTTGAGGAATATTATCAGACTGCTGAAAAAATGCAAACTGCTTGTAAAAGAGCTAGATATGTGTTTACTTTGGCCATAATAAAAAATTGGCTTAACAAACAGGCTTTGTATCAGATTCATAAGCCTCGGCCTAAATATATTTCACAAGTATCTTTTAATAATATTACCGTACCTATGGAAGTTATTCAAGCTGATTTATGCTATATGCCTTATAATCGAATTGGAAATAAAACTTATAAATTTGCACTTAATTGTGTAGATATTGCTACCTGCACTAAATGGATCTATCCTTTAACTAGACGTGATTCTGCTAGTGTGGCTAAAGGATTTGTGAAACTTTTTAACTCCCGAATATGCCTAATTATCTGGTCTAAAGTTAAAGTTTTAATGGTAGATGGGGGCGTAGAATTTCAAGATAATGTTATTATACTAATAAACAAACATGGTATCCAAATTCAACTAGCTAATTCTAAGAATCTATGGGTATTGTTGAGAGATTTAATCGTATACTTCAAGAATGGGCATTCTTTATTCAAAATAGTGTTGAAATGAGATTACCTCCTACTGAGCGCTATTGAGCTTGGGTAAAAAACCTTCCAATTTTTCTTGTAGAGCTTGACAATTCTGTAACTCGACTTTTGGGTATTTCTCCTGCTGAAGCTCGAAAAAAAGAACATGTCTTTGCTAAAGCTTCCAAGTCACGAGAAGGACCTATTGGGTTTGATGAGCCTAGATTATCCCATGATGTCTTAGTAAGATATTTGCTTAATCCTGGTGAATTAGAAGATGGGAGACGATGTGCAACTGATTGTAATTGGTCTTTCCAAATTTATCATATTCGTGAATCTCTAGTGCAAAAAAATCAGCCAGTTTTGTACTGGCTAATAGATGATGAGGACAATGGCCCGAAAAGATCCTTTGTAAGAGAGAAGCTTAAAATCGTAAAGGATGTACAATTACCATTTCGATGGGTATTTGCAAATTAGATTTCTAAGTCATGAAGTTTAAGCATTTCATTTACTTCTTCTATAGATTTTTTTTGCACAACCTCTTCTTGGTTCGTTAATAAGAGATATAATTTGTATAACTTTTCAAGACTCTGATACACTTCTTCATTATACCAGTCTTCGAAATCTGCCATTCTTTCATTATAAACTTTCTCATTTGGAGCTCGCTGCTTTGCTACATATCTGTAATGATCATCTGGATCTCTTTTACGTTGCATTGTTTTCAAATAGCCTATATATGACAATCCCATTTTATCATATTTTTTTGTGCCTTGGCTATATATTACTTTGATTATCTCAACTAATGCCAATTCGATATCTTTATAGTTAATCATTTTGAATGTTTGTATTAATATAGCAAAAACTTTTGTTTAAAATAAAATATTTATTTCTTATTACCATGATAGGCGAATATTATTGCAATTATTTACTCATGACTGGATACGTCTGTGGGCAGACTTATCATCAGCCTGAAGGGTGTTTTGAGCATTGGAAAGCTAAACCCCGCATTCCTTGTAAGGTTTGTGGCAAGCCAACAAGCTCTGAACTCGACCTCTGCAGAAAGCATGCTAGTGGATACTATGTGACCCAATATATTAATAGGCTTCAGAATAATGCTAGGATGGCAGAAATGTTAGAAGAGGCTAGGATCAAAAAAATATAGCATCCATATTTGCTTCATCCTAAAGGGCTTACTCATATTCCTACTATATTTTTTCTCTTAGCAAGTGCTACTATTATAGTATGCGGATTAGGAGGCTATAAGAGGATATATATGTTTGCTCTAGAGGTGAGATTTAAATATATTCATCCGGCTATTTATTAGAAGGCTTAATAGACTAACATTTTAAGAAAAAATTTCACTGACAGGCCATAAGAGACATTTTTACATCCCATTGTTTTTTTTTTTCACTTAAGGATTTACTGTTAGGTGTAAAATTTTATTATGACAAAATTATAATCAGGAAGGTACACAAAGACAAGAAAACAAATTAGTATTTTTGATAAGTAAGAGGGGCTGGAGCACATTATTAGTCAACTATCATTCTTGAGGTTTTCAGGCGAAAATAACACAGTCTGCACATACTTTCTACTAAGTGTAAATTTTTATTATGTTAGGATTATAATCAGGAAGGCGTGCAAAGATAAGAAACAAATTAGTAATTTTATTGAAAGAGAGGAGCTAGAATACGTTCTAAGAATACTAATTTTATTGATATACTAGAACTATATTTAAAGAGCCCTAGAACGACGAAATTAATAAGTAATCATTTTAGTAGAAGGGAGGGCCCAAAATGCTTATTTCGAAAACTATCATTCTTGGGATTCCAGGTTAAAATAAATTGGTCTGCCCACCCTCTCTGCTGCTAATAGTACTGTATAATAAATATAAATTTTTTAAGAAACTAATGTTTTTATAAAAAAAACTGCTATAAATAAAAATTTGAAAATAAATATCTCTTTTGCTAATAAACCGTTGCTTTTAAAGTAACAGTTTATAAATTATATATTTAAAAAAATTGATAAAAAATCATAAAAAACAATTCAATAAATCAATCAAATAGTAAAATAAGTAAACAGATGATAAACTTAGGAGCGTGCCAGAAATTACGTGATTATGCTCAATTAGAGACCTAACCCCTCCTACCCACCATGTGATTGAATTCTGATTGGCTAAAAAAATATATATAATATATAATATATATATTATAATACAATTAGTCTGCTATCTAATAATCCAATTTGCATAAATTTTTTTTTGTTTTGTGGCCCCATTTATGCTTTATAAAATAAAATAAAAATTCATTGAAATTGGACTACTAGATAGTGATATGAAATAATTGCAAAAAAGCTTCACTGGTAAAAAAATGATTTATCCTACACATATCTTACACATATTGGGTACTTAAAATGTAGAAAATCATACACAAATAATACACATATCATACACATATCGGGTACTAATATACATATCATACATATATCAGGTACCTGATAGGTATACTATATATATAAGTACCCGATATGTGTATGATATGTGTATTATTTGTGTATGATTTTCTACATTTTGAGTACCCGATATATGTAAGATATGTATAGGATATGTGTAGGATAGACCATTTTTTTACCAGTGCTTATTAACAAATAAATTACTACTACTGTATTTTGTGATATATAAGCACCCATTTTTTTGCATTTGATGCCAGTCAAGATCCTCATAATTTTAGCCAAAATCGCCATAATTCTGGCCAGGAGTGCTTACTTTCGGGGGATGCTTACTTATCGCAAAATATGGTATATATTACATATATATTAGAATACAATTATTTCACTATCCAATAATTCAATTTGCATAAACTTTTTTTTATTTTATAGCTCTCTTTATACTCTATAAAACAAAAAAAAATTCATTAAAATTGGACTTTTAAATAGTGAGATAATTGCAAAAAAAGCTTCTTAATAAACAAATTATATATTATTTATTATAAATGATATACTATTACCATAAAAGGAGGATGTCTAAAGCAGAGCAGAGTCATGTGATATGCCACATATTTGCACCGCCATATGGCTGTTTATTTATTTATTTTTTTTAAAAAAAATTTTTTTTCAGGCTCTTTCTTTCTTTTAAGCCTTAGGATTTACAAATCATGTAAATCTTTTTCCTCGTCCTTTTGTTCGTTTTATGAATAGCATCATACTATTTTCATATTAAGTTCACGTATTTCAAAAAAAATATTGTAAATATTTTTTTTTTTGTTTTTTTTGTAAAAGTTTTTTTTATTTAGTTCTTTTTCTTTTTACTAATATTAAACTTATAAATTAATAGTTAAGTTAAAACATTTTTTGTCTTTTTTGTTATCATGTCTGTCTTTTTGGTTAATACTTCTGCTACCACTTTAGTTGCTGCGCAAATGACAAATATCACTTCAAAAGAAAAGCAGAATTTCCTTTTTGATGTAAATTGCTCTTTGGAAGTTCAAATGAAGGATTTTGATGAAAATTGGTGGCCATTAGTTTCAAATATATGGACACAATAGACTTCATATAAACAAGTAAATAGAAACTTTTGGAAGATTTTTACCTGCCATTTTACAAAGCATCGAGACTCTAGTACACGACAAAAAGAAAATATTTCTAATGAAAAATGCTGAATAACGAAGACAAGATCATCTGGATTATGTCATGCCAAAATTAAAGTTGAATAGTTAATCTCATTGAAAATAGTTAAAGTTGGACGTTATAAAGACTCTTCCAACCATACACACTCATTGTTAGATGTCAATAGGCTTAAACGTTCTTAAGTTATTTGAACTTTAGTGGAAAAAGAAGCAGTCAAAAATTATTTGCCTTTGGCAATTACTGCTGCCATTAAAGAATATGTAACAATTGAATTAGATCTTGGTGCAAGTGCACAAGAATTGAAGTGCAAGGAAGTAACGAATATTAAGTATAAAGTTCGTGGACCTATGAAAGTTCATCTCGTTGGCAATTCTAATTTAAAGTTAGATATTTCACAATCAGTATTATATTTAAAAGAGCAGGGATATCAAGTTGAAATTTAGTATGTCCACCAATGATCTACTAAGGGCATTGTTTTTGCACATCTCGAGCAACTTGAGAAACTTGAGAATCATGGATGGTTGACTCTAATTGATTCCACTTATAAAACAAATAGATATGATTGGCGTCTATTTACACTGTACATTCGTAATACTTACGGATACTGAAATATAGGTGTGCATTTTTTTGTAAGCAGTGAGAATAGTGATACTGTTGCAGAAGCTTTAAAAAAAATTTGCAGCTATTGCCATTAGACTTCCCGCTACATCCTATCTGATCAAAGCAGTGTTGAATTTAAAAGTGTTAAAATCGTTTTTCCTGGTGTAAATGCCGGTGAGCAAGAGTATGAAGTATTACTTTATGTTGTACATGTTATGCGGATGTAGATGTTGAAAATTCATGAAAAAAAAACCTGTGATGTTATGATCGTGGTAATGCATAAAAGGACAAAGATCGGTTGTGAAAACTGATCCAAGAAGCTATTAACAACTGTTCTGTTCCTACTATTCAGAATTATATTAGAAGGAATTACATAAGAAATACACAACAATAGGCATTGTAGGCGCACTAACATTTGCAAGTCACCTCCACAAATCCATTATAATCTTACCACAGTAAATTGAAAAGGAAAACATTGTCCTTACATGGTTTAATTGGTAAAATTCTACTTTTTTGTTGTTTTTTCCATCCTTCAACCTCTTATTTTGATGCTTGAATCTATAAAATTTGCAATTTTTTTTTCTTTTTTTCCATATTAAAGGTAATTATATACTAACATGAATTTTCTATGTAACGTTTGCCAATTTACTCTTATCAACTTACTCAGATACTCACTTTTTGTTTATTCATTCATCTTAGGTGCTGTCCATAATATCATTGTAAAAAACAATCTGATTCCAAAAGTGCCATCTTCAACTTTTGTGTCAAAAAGTATCAGCTTATGATGTAGAAAAGGATATTATCGAGAAGATTCATAAATTCCCCTTGGCCCTTATCATTTCAATATCTACTTATTAAAGAGGCCTGTACCGTAATGGATAGATTGGAGAAAAGTAAAGGTACACTGGGTTTGACTTCACTTAATTGTTACTATTTGTTTCACAATCGATACTTGTTACCATGCAAACATATTTTTTACAAACATATGTATAGAAACATGAAATTATTAACTACTGATGTATGGAGAATATTTCAGAAAATATTTGAGAAAAACAGGTTTAAAGTATATGAATATCATGAATTAGTGATAGAGTTTGTACAAATGGAATAACAAAAAAAAGCCAAAGGTCAAAAACTTACTGTATTTGAATTAACTGAAAGAGTCCGTGATATATAGATACTGAAATGTTGAAGAAGGAGTAATGCTGAGAGAACAGAGGCTTTTATTTCTACATTAGAAGTCTCTTTAAATCCTATTATCATACAATTTAAATAATTATAATAAAATATTCGTGAAAATTTGGTTGTTTATTTTTTTGAAATTTGGTTTTTTTCATTTTTTTTTCATAGTATTTTTTGAAATTTCAATAGTTTTTCTAAAGAAAAATTTGCTTTTTCGTTGAAAATTTCGTGATTTTTTTTGCAAAATTTTTATGGTTTTTTTTAAAAAAAAATTTTTTTTGACATCGTGGCTTGTGACTTGTAATAATTGGTTAAGTCACGTGACTCTGCTTTACTTTAGACATCCTCCATAAAAGGTATATTGTGACATCTGATTGTGGAACTTGATTCCCACCATCTACTAAATCACATAACAGTCCATAAACATAAATTCAGAGAAAATGAAACTGTTGAACATCATGAAATATGCTATGCTCTCAAAAATATTCTTTTTAGACCATTTTTATTTGAAAGACTAGTGTATTAAAATTAAGAGATTATGAAAGAATGGCCAAAGAAATAAAGTTAATTTCTATGCAGCCATATGATATCAAATTGTTCAGCTAATATTTTCTATTGTAAAATAAAAATTGTGTTGCAATACCATGAAAATAAATCAAAAATTTACAACATGATCACAAATTTAACTATATATTTACACTTTTAAGTATAACTTTAGTGATGCATTATTTTAACTATACATTTTTTAACTTTAGTAATACATTATTTAACTATACATTTACATTTTTTAGTGTAGCACATTTTTTAGTGATATATTTATTAATAAATTTGCAAATATAGAAATGGTTTTAAACTTTTGGCCAGAAAGTATATGTCCCAAAAATGCATAAACTGGTATCATATAATTGCCAAAATCTTCACTATTATCAAACAATTGTTGTTATTTTCTGCCATATCAAGATCATCATCTGCATCACTATTATATTGTTTTCTTCTTCTACATCATAATTTTTATTTATAGCATTATCTTTTCATAGTTCCTTGAGATGAATTATACTTAAATGTTTTTTTTCTTCTTGCAAATGTTGATATATCAAAGATCTATATTCTTTTTGAACATTATCCTCCTTTTCTATCCTTCTATCTCCTCCAAAACTTATTGACTTTATTAGAAGTTGAGTTTAACTATTATTAAAGCAAAAATAACAAACATTTTTCAGTACTATTTAATTTTATTGTATAGACAAATTTGTTGCAAGCGAGAGCTTTAATTTATACACCTACTCTGAAGTTGATTTTTTAATGTATATTGATAGAAGGTGATTGAGCTAGATAGATAATTCATTCTTTGTATAATCTATTGAATGCTAGTTTGTTTTTGGACTTCAGTTTAAACTTAGAGACAATCATATAGACCGATGCTTTTCAAAATATTTTGTGTATATTCCAGTATGCAACTATCAAAAATTTGACATATGATATAAAGAACATAATACTGTATAAATAACAACGTCATACGCGACATATTATCTTGAGATGTTTATCGCCATTTTCAAATGGTGCGATCTTCAATCATGTGGTGTCATAATAAAATTCTCAAATTTTTTGAACTTTTGCGAACTTTCTTAAAACTCACAACAAACACTGCGAATTTCTACTACAGTTGCAAAATTTAAAACCTCTATTTACTAAAGTCTAAGTTTTGTAAGTGTAAAGCAATTTTCTTCCTTCGAATTTACAAAAGAAGTGCTCTTACTAAACGAATTTTCCACGAATTTTCACGATTTCTTGCGAACTCTGTGAAGTTCATAGTTAACACTGCGAATTCCTTTACAACAAAAAAAATGTGGGTACTCTAGTTTCCTTTAGTTTAACATCTTGTAAGTATCTAGATTTGAATTTTAAATAGAAGAAATGTGGGTTGCAATTTTTCGTGATTCGAATGTTTTTTTGTTGTGCTATTTTGAAGATCGCACCATTTTGAAAACGGCGATAATGGTACTTTCAGACCTGTGGCTGTCGTCATTTGATCATGACCAACTTTTTCTAAAAGAGAAGGAATCTCATGCAAAAGTGTTTAATAAAGGATCAAGCGAATTATTATTCTCATTCATCCTTTTACTAATGACAACCGGCAAGACACAGTTCTAGTTAATAGAATTCTCTTGGCAGTGCGTTTGACAATAGGACTACGTGACTAGCGGTTCTTTTAATAAACTGCAATCTCACTTCTCCTATACATGTCAGTTCCAAAGGTTATTGTGTTATTCAAAAGCTATTTTAGATCATTTCATTCTCTGGTAAGTTATACGCACGAAAAGTAAAATACCAAATACCATTTTCTCTATATTATTATGTATGTGAGTCGAATAAGAGATATATATTCAGTAGCATCAAGTTATTTCTTTGCTCTTTAAATTTCAGTAACTAATTGTTTCTTTCCTATCTCTATTGCTATACCCGCATCCTTTTCTACACAAAATTTCGACATGAATTATCTAAAGTGTAAATTCGGGAGAATTAGAAATGACGTGAAAAAATCAGCAATGTAATTTTACCAATTCACACTCACTGCTATGAAAATTATATTCTAATCTCAAGAAATTTTACAAATATTATGTAAGTGTAACCGGGAAGGGGACAATACAATTGTGAGTGATGATCGCATTATTCACAAACCTTACCATCCCCTAAATATATGCCATTTTTCAAAGTGGTGCTGCCTTAGCAAAGCGCCTTCCAGCTCCTTATAAGTTGTATTATCCTGATTGTTTGGTAAGAAATTCGGCATGATACACTGTATTAATATAGTCTAAATAAATTCTGTAAAATAAAAAATAAAAAATCGTAAACTTTACTAAAATGCCTATTTTTTTAAAATTGTCTAGTAATAGCAGAATTATTTTATTATTTTTAGGAAAAAAATTTACAAATATAATTCTTTTATAATTATTGTAAACATAAATGCTTTATCAAAAGAGTTTTTATGATAAAATATATTTTAGCAGGTTTGTTGTGATCACCAGGTAAAAGGGAATTTGTAGTATTAGATATTAATTATAGTTAGGTTCAATTATTAAATTCATTGATACCATTCAATAAAGTTTTTAGATGGACTACTCGTACTCAACAAACTTTGTATGTCCTGATCAGTATTTGTAAAGAGAAAATATTGATTTAATAAGGTTAAATTTTCTTTTAGAAAAAATAGGGTAATATAACGCAAATTTACCTGTTGATTGAGCATGTTGTACAGCTTCTTTTTCTCCTTTTAATCCATGTCCACATTGGCCGCATTTTAAAGTAAAATCAGCTGTATATGTATATTTATGCAACTAAATAATAAATAAATAAACAAATGAATAAAGTTCAATAAAGTACTTGAAATATATTTATATTATTAATTACTTGTTTCATCTTATTGGCAACAGCTGATACTGCTTTTAGAGTTACATCATCGGTTATATTGAAAATTGTTTGGTCATATTCTTGGCCTGCATCAAGTATTGGAGTTAAAGCGATGGCATCATAATCTATATATATTTATTTGATTTGTATGGAAATCAATGAGATGACTAAAGAATGTAAATATATGAAAAACGTTTTTACTTACGAATACCACTAAAAAAATGAATTATCTAATTAGTTATTATATTTTTGTGATACAATTTATTTTTCATAAAATTTGACGAACCTGTAAATTACAAATACATATTGATCATATTGCCCTTGACCTATAGAGAAATAAATAAAAATTTATATAATTTTCTAGCATAATTATAATTTTTATGATTAAATTTACCTACCAAATCGATCAATTCTTCCACTCCTTACATCAACACTACAAATTTCTTAAAATACAATAAAATCAAATAATATCAATAAGATCTAGATAGAGTAAGTGCTGGTTACTAATATTAAATGAATATTAACTTTACCAACTTTGTAATGAGATGCAAAAATAGAAAGTTCTGATTGCATAAATATAAAAGAAATTATTAATTCACGAGAAAATACAGTGAACCAATCAATTTTAACAATAAAATTCTTACCAATCGCACCTCCCCAACTATCTTTTCGTGCAATCCAAGAACAGTATTCTTCTCTTGGTTTCCCCAAAACTACATCTGAAAAATGGTCGGGATTTTTCCTTATGTGATCAATAACAACTAAATATTTTAGGATTGATTAATTCGAGTTAATTTCGATTTATGTTAACTTTAATAGTAAAACTAAAAAAAAAAAAATTACTTTGTCTCAAATGTTGTACTGTATCAGTCGATCTATCCAATACATAACTTATATAATGATATTATAGGTCAAATGTCAATATAAATAATATACTATGTAAATACTCATCTTCCAATATTCTTACCCTAAAATATAAGATCATAATTAAATTAGAATCCTTTAATTTGGGTTGAAATTTACAAATAGCTTATATACACACCAATAGCACGAAACAGACATGAATTATCGTCAGGCATTTCCTAATAAATCAATGACATTTCGTTAACAATTTCTAAGCGAATAGTATACATATTAACTTAAATCATATCATACTCTTAAAATGAAAAATCCATTTTCCGTAGGAATGGATATAACATCTTTTGAACTGGACTTGCTAGCTGTTGAAGGGACTGTAGGTGTATGTAGAGCATGTGCGGGTGCGGGTGCGGGTGCTGATATTGTTGGAGTACCCTTTACTACTTCTGTTGAAGATATTTCGGTTAGAATAATAATATCGCCGTTCAACAATCCAGCTGAAGCCAAAGTGTCTTCATTTTTAGCTTTACATATTCGTGGCGGATATCCTATTTTTACTTTTTTTTTTATAAAAAAAAAATAAAAAAAAACAATAAAGCTTTAGGATAAATAAATAAATATATAGTTTTTCTTTAACATACGTTCTTGGTACGGAAGTAAAACTCCTGTTAGTTTTGATATTTCTTCTTTTAATTCCTTGAATGAGGCTTGTTCATTTAACGTTGTAATAGTATGAATCTTACTATTTTTATCTCGAATTCTTAACTCCATTGTTTTTGTTTGTGGACGAGAAGTCGAAAAAGATTGTGTCGATGTCATAATTGATGATCCATATTTTTTTTGTTGGTTATCCAATTAAAACATTACTGGTATTTTCCTCCTGAAATTTTTTTTTTCGATCATTTCATTTTAAGTTTTTCTTTAATAATGGTACATATTTGCATTCTTGTCATTTGCTCTTTAATAATATCCAGATGAATTTTCTTTTTTTTCCTCAATAGGATGGACGCTTTAATCACGCTCATTTAAGACACACTAGACACTTGGATCATATTGATAATTGGGAGAACCATAAATTACCTGATGATGGTATGTATTCTTTACATAATAATTAATTCGTTTTAGTTTTATCCAAATTAAATTTCAATCCAACGTTACAATTTCAAATTTCAATAGAAATTGCTGTACCTTTGAAGCATCAACCTCCTTTAACTGAAGATAATGATGACTGTAAATAAATCGTGTTAATTTTTTTTTTCGAAATATTATTTATTTATTTGTCTTTATTAACCTTTTACAGTTAATAATTTATTACCGGAACAACTTAAATCAGAGAACAAAAAATGGACTGATCTTGCTTTAGATTTTCTAAATGATGAGCCACAACAACTACAAAATCAAAATCCACAACAGTCACAACAAATTCAATAGATTTATTAAATAAACGAAATTGTTGACAATTGATTACTTAGTCTGGAAATCTTCATTTTAGTTTTTATTAATAAAATTTATGGCATTTTATGGTTAAGAGAAGTTCTTGTTCGTAACTATCTATTTTATCCGTAAGGGCCTTATATTGAGATTCTATGACGGCTTTTTCTTTTTCCCAGCATTGAATCTTATTAATGATCTACAGATAATATAGATAATATCGATTTAGATATGTGATTACAGTGTTTAATAACAAGTTCTGATAAAAAATCCACATTACCTTTTCTTGTATCTCATCATGCGATCTCTTTTCTTCTGCTGCTTTTAATTCATATTCTTTCATTTCTTCTTGAATTTTTTCGTAATCTTTCTGCAGGGTCACAAGTCTATTTTCTGATTCTTCTACTCTTTGTTTATGTTTATCCCGTTGACGTTTGAGTCTTTCTTCCAAACTTTGTTTTTGACGAGTTAATAACTTAAATACAAAAAGGAGATATGAAGCACAATTTATTAAAATTACTTTTTCTGAAGTTAATTTGCAAAATCATTAAATGAACCTGTTCTTTCTTCTCGATTTCACGTAAAATCTGCCGTTTTGTCTCAACATCTTCCTGTAATTCTCTTAGTTCTTTAAAAGCTTTATCACAATTATTCCTTTGTTTTAGAACTTCATCCAAAATTTTGTTACAAGCTCTGATTTCCTGTATATTAATTATTTTTTAAGTTTTTTTAGTATTAATATTACAGTAACTATTTACGACAATAACACTTACGTCCTCTACAACTTTAAGCATATCAAGCTTTGCATTTGTGTCACGAATAGATTTTTCGGCCGCTGTCAGATCTTCTCTTTCCTTAGATAGATTATTATTCATTTCTTCGACAGTCTATTAAAAGAGACGCGACATATTTACGGATATTTTATCTAAAGTCTTACTAATTAACTTATTGTTAGCAAACCTGTTTTAATTTTTCCGGATGCAACACTATTCGACTTTTTAAACTCTCAAGATTTTGTTTGGCTGTCACATGTAGAAATTGTGAATTATTCTGAATAAAAAATAAAATTATATTATTGCGGGCTTACTTTTAAATTTATAAACTATAGAACGCATACGATTTTATCGGTCCACTCCACTCTGGAAGCTTTTAGACTATCAATCTCGGACAGTAACCCTGTCTGCTTTTTTTTTAATTCACGCATTTTACTCATAAGATTTTCATTGTCCTGCTTGTATCGCTTTACTTCCGGTTCTTGTTCTTTGCGCTGCAATCTTATTATGAATGCTTGTTTATTTAATCATTGTTAAGAAAATTGGGTAAGACTTTAATTTATACCCTTACTTTAAAGCGTTAAGTCTTGCATTTAGATTATGATAACCATTTTCCAATTCTTCATTTTTAGCTTCAAGAGATTCCTTAATAAAAATTATTTAATTGTCAAAATTTTGAAATGAAACCTATTTTATATTATATAGCACTAACTAAGAGGTATTTGCATGGAACATGTCAAATTGGCCCGAATTAGCCTAATTCTACCAGAATTAAGGTTCTTAAACCGCTTATTAGTCAGTGCTATACGGTAATCTTAGAAGAAATACTCACAACATCTTCATCCATTTTTACCAATATTTTTATCTGATCTTCACGGAACTTCATATAATTAATTATTCCACTGAGAATCATACGAAGTCTTTGTGGTTCCGGCCTGACTATATCTCCCAAGTTGAAATCTGATATTCCCACAACTTGCATAAATTTTCTCCTTTTAATGATGTAAAAAATGATTTTCTAGAGTTAAAAAAAAGCCTAATATACAGTTAACATCTCACTTACATTTTTATGTAAAAAGCCATTGCGTTCATTTGTACAGCGTATATGTCTTGGTACTTATAATTGATGATATAAAACGATTAACATTGAAACAAGCAAAAGAACAACAAATAGCTATAAACCCACATCTAAGGAATATATCTCCTGCAGGATTTCTTGCATAGACTGTAACGCCATCACATCAACTTGTTCAAAAACTCCTCCGGTAGTCTCTTCCAGAACTTTTGCATAAAGATCACATATACGTTCAGAAGCAGGTCTCTTTAGGTCATGGTCAGCTAATGATATACCAACTTTAAGGGTATCGAAGAAATAAACTATTTCTGAGTCAGTTAGTGTTGGAAACATCCAAGATTCTTTTTTATTTGGCATGGTCTCTATTTTTGAATGAGCGAGTAAAGTAACAGGCGTAGACGTAACAACGCATAACTGGCGTCAACAGACGCGTATGACGAAACAAGGTATTGAAGTTAATCACGTGGTAAATAGAGTGTCACTTAACACGTGACTTAAATATTGCTTTTTATCGCATAAACAATGACAAGGCACGCATCTGATTTAAAAATGCAGGTAAATTATATATTTTTTTGTATTGTGCAAAGCTCACTGATGTAAAATCTCTTACCTTTACGAGAATTTCTTCACGCTCAAAGATCATTGAAAAGAGAAATGCACAGCTTTCGAACCATGAAGTATTGGCGCTACTTCGTGAATTAGATGAGAAACAAAAAGAACAAGTTCGAATTAACCCACAAATCAAATTTGCAGAAAATCTAAAGACCATTCAATTTGAGGTAAAATTAATTTTAGTTATTCGTTTAAATTTTTATTTCTTACTTAAAATAAGGTTTTATATTCACAAATTTAAGGTTATACAAAATTTAACATCACTACAATCACCAGCAAGAACTCAAACACCTGAACAAATTGAGTCGGTTTTGTTTGAACTCAAGAAGTATAATTTAACCAAATCCGAGAAATTACAAATTATCAATTTGAGACCACAAAGCATTGCTGAACTAGAATTGGTAATTGGATTCTTTAATAGTTGTATTTTTTCTAGACTTCCTGCTTATTAAATTCTTTTGGAAAATTAAGATTATAGAAGATTGTGAAGATCGATTCTCGACAGAAACACTTCGGGAGATGATTTATATGATTGGGGTTAACCTGCCAATCCCAGGAAAGGTTGTACGTCGCTTAGAAAGTGGTAATGAACCCACAGAAGAGGATGAAGTTTTGACATTTATTCACTATGAGACAGATCCAAAAAAAAAAAATATTTTGTCGGAGAACGTCCATTAATAATTCAAATTAATTGATGATAACAAACAATTTTATTTCTAATAATACAAACAAATGTGGCTATATTTTTTTCAGAATCAGCTTCGACTATTCCTCAAAGATAATTCGCAAAATTTCATTTCAACAAGTCCTCTTGATATTGCTAATATAATAAGGGTTCGTATATATATATTGGATATTATTTGATATTATAATTCAAATCCGCAAATGGTATTCTTTAATGATAATTTCAATTTTTTAGTGGAAAGAACTTATTTAGTATTACATATTATTAGATCTTATTATCGTTACTGTTGGACAATTTTCAATACATAAAATTACGATGATGTTTAAATCTGCATAAACTTACAATATGTAGTCATCATTATTAGTTTATTGTATATATTAACGCGTTGAATTCAATTACTTAAATTTAAACAGTTTCAAAATAACGTTTGATTTCCCAATTTGTAACGGTTGTTTCCCATAGTTTCCATTCATGTAATCTAGTTTTACCAAAATGATCAACGAATCTATCACCTAATACTTTCCTAGCTATAGAATCCTTAGCCATCATCGTATGAGTGGCTTCTTGTAAATTCTTAGCTAAACGTTTTTCTTGATGTTGAGCTAATAGATTCATTTTTTCTTCTGGGGTAATAATTTCTTTATTTACATGCGATAAAGGTGGCATTAATATTGGTAACTTATTTTCAATTCCGTATAATCCACACGCTAAAGTAGCTGAAATTGCAAGATATGGATTAATATCAGCACCTGAAACTCTCATTTCAATTCTAGTTGCTGATGCTGATGATGTTGGTGGGGAAATTACTCTAATAGCTGCAGTTCGATTTTCAAGACCCCATGAAACATTTATAGGTGCCCAATAATTTTCCACTAATCTTTTATAACTATTAACAGTTGGTGCTAAGAAAGGCATAATACTTGGTAATCCGACAAGAATACCTGCCAAAAAATGTTTCATAGTATCGCTCATAAATTTAGTATCTTTCCATTCCTTTGGATTACTTGATCCATTTTCCGCAAATGAATTTTTACATTCAACGCTACTATCTTTCTTGGCAAATATATTTTCTCCTGTTTCTATACTTTTAAGTGAAAAATGTAAATGCCCTGAACATCCTGGCAAATCAGCATGTGGTTTGGCCATAAAACATGACATAATTCCATGTCGAAGAATACCAATTTGTTTTATAGCTAATTTAAACAGCGTAGCCGAATCTGCCATATCCATCGCCGGTGAATATGCAAGCGCAGCTTCATATACACCGGGACCTAATTCAGTAGATTTAATTTTAAATTAAAAGTTGCTTGCTTATAAATAATATCAATAACGTTTATTCGAATCATTTTTAAATCCATAACGGACCTGTTTCCGTATGCAATGCTTCCAAATTTACATTGAATGATTTCAGCTCATCAAATATATCGTAAAAGAAGTTTTGATTTGAAGTTGGTCGAAGCAAAGCTAAAAAAATCATAAGTAAAATAAGAAAAAAGAAACGACTCTTATAAAGTGAAAGAAAGGTATTGTTCGAATAGATTGCTTACAATAACCAAACATTCCTTGCGTAAGTGGGACTGGTGAATTATATTGTTTGGCAGCCATTGTTTCAGGAGTTTCTATTGTACAGCAATAATAATTATAATATCGTTATAGAATCAAAAAAAAAAAAAGAAATACGTAACATTTTATATAATATAGTATTTGTTGTATGATAATACCTTTGAAACTGAAAAACTCGAATTCTGCGCCACACATTGGTTTTAAACCTAAGATAATTCAAGTTAATATATGCTTGTTAAATTCACCGAAACGCTAATATTACCTAATTCTTCATATTTATTTAGGATATTTTTCAAAAGACCTCTTGGGCATACGTAAAGTGGTTCTTTTGTTGTGGGATCATAAAAAGTTAACAGGAAAAACGGAATATTATCCTCCCATGGTATACGACGATAGGTGGATATGTCGACCTTGGCAACAATATCGGCGTAGCCTAATCGAAAAAAATTCATTACAATGAGAAAATTTAAACAGGGAAAAGTTTTGAATTTGTACCATTATCGCAGTTTGATATCTCGAGTTCTTCCGTATATGTCTTATCATGCATATCCCAACCGAAAATTACACTACAAAATCCTGTGATCTAGTATGTTAATTGGAATTCAATGATGAATTTATTTAATTTATTTTGAATTATAAAATTTTAAATACATGCCAAATCCATCTTCTAAAGTAGATAAGAATTTACTCTTTACAAGAATTTTTCCACGAAGAATTCCGTCAACATCCACTCCTAATTTAAAGAAATTAGATAATTTGCATGGTTATATTTTATTTTTATATGATAGTCTGAACCTTTTACCAGCTACTTTTATACGGTGGTCATTTTCCAAAAGTTTTTTAACTTCTTCAATATTTTGAGGAATTTTTTCGGGTATGTTACTCATTTTACGAACAGGAGAAACTTGAAATGATCATCGATAATTATTTAAATTAGTTAAATTAGTGTGTGAATTTTGTTTAGCCAGATCTTTTCTATAAAAGGCATCATAACACAAGATAGTATCGAAAATTAAAATATCAGATCTTATCTAATTTTGTGCTATAAAAGGAATACACAAGATATATAAATATGGTATCGAATTCCCAAATTCTCCTTATCGCCGTTTATTAATATGGCTAATATTAGTTCTTCGGATACAGCAGCAGCAGCTGTTAACGTTACCGTCACTACCACTGATATTAGACAACCACATGTATCTTCAACTACGATAGTAGAAAGTGGTCATTGTGAAGTTGGTAAAAGTTTCGGAATGGGTTCTTATTTTAATTTAAAACATACTATAAAAATTTATTATGAAATACATGGAATTGGCCCAAATAAATTACTTTTTATCATGGGTATGTTACGATTTGAGGTTTGCATAATCATATCATGGGCAAGAAATAAGTCTTTTCATTACAACTCAATTCTATTTTACACAGGACTAAATAATACAGCAGAAAGTTGGGATCATCAAGTAAATTTTTTCTGTTAAAAAAAACATTTTTTTTTTTTGAATTTAAAGAAAATAAATATTATTCAAACTTTGTTAGATCAACTATTTTGGAAATCATCCCGATTACCAAGTATGCGTTTTTGATAATCGTGGTGTTGGTTATTCAGGTAATCTAAACAAAATATTGTCTTTTTTTTACTGCAACACGATAAATAAACATAATCATTTTATATATTAAAGACGCACCGGCGGGATTCTATAGGTAATTTTATAGTTTAATTAGTGATATTCACATCATCATCATCTTGTTCATATTCATTTATGTAATATTCTTAGCACAAGTCAAATGGCACATGATGTAATCGATTTATGTGAATACTTAGGATGGACAAAAAATATTCATCTAATTGGTGTTTCGATGGGTGGTATGATTTCACAAGAATTGGTGCTAGCCAAACCACAATACTTTAAATCTCTCTGTTTAACTTCTACAACACCAGGAATGACATTACCTCCGGTAAGTATATTTTTTGTTTGAATTAATGATTCGCGTGAGGAAACTCTTTGAGCTATTAAAGCCAATATGTATCGAGAGTTATCTGATATGCACAAAAAATTTCTTTATGATGTACAGAAAAAATTGATGAGAGCCAAAAGACTATTGATCTTGGAAAACTGATTGTTCTTTTATATGTAAATAGTTGTTATGTGTCACTACGTTGAGTAAATTAATGTTTATTAGAAATCCACTTGATAAAATTGACATTGTTGTAAAATTGTTATTTCCAAATGTAAGATGTCATCTCTAATCTTCTTTCAACTTATTTAGTTTATAGAACTCATATGGTGTTATTTATTTAGGAATGGTTAAGAGCTCCTGCTCCTCCAGGTTCATCTCATGCAACAAATGAAGAACATATATTAGAGGTAAATGCAACTTACAGTATATTCTATGTATATTGTACTCACTTTATATGCTAATTATGAAACATTAAATAGACATATCGTCAACGAATAGCAAAACGTGGAATTCAACCTGTTAATGGTAATAATTAAATCATTCCTTTAAAAAAATTATTGTTTTTACTTAAATTTCAAATCCTTATTAGGAGCAATTGGTCAAATGGCTGCGTGTATCCGTCATTATTGTTCTCCTAGTCGTCTTCATCGCATTAAATGTTATATTTCACAGGTATTTTTTTTCATGATTTTTTTTTTAATTTTCTTTGACTAATACTTCAAAAAAACGTTTTTTAGATTTTGGTTATAACAGGAACTTTGGATAACTTAATTAATCCAGCAAATAGTCACTATTTAGCAAAACAATTAAATGCAGATTTTGAATGTTGGGAAGGTAATCTTATATTTACATAATTTTCTTAAATTTTCATTTATATAATTTATTTTATTTTATTTTATTTTTACAGGATCTGGTCATGCATTACCAAATGAACAAGCTGAACGATATAATAATTTATTAGATTTGCATTTTAGAAAATCTGGTCTAATTAATACAGACGATTAATTATTTGTAATATATTATAAATATCACATATATTTGTCTGGACCCTGGAGCACTAGATTATGTGATACTTTTCTTAATGACCCCTGAAATTTACCAAGATCGCGTAATACTGGTTTGTACGACGGACTTAGACGGTTTCCATTTTCCTAGTAATTATTTAATTGAAGTTAAACTGGTTTATTTTTAATAAATTATTTAAAGAGATATATTATTACAAGTTATTTATATCATGAATAAAGTTTATAAAATAATATATGCAAAGTTTTAATAATTACAAATAATCTTTAAGTTAATAAGTGATAATTGCAGTTTACTGTGTATTGTCATTAATGTTGAGTTTTTCCCGAATGGCTATTATATCCTTTTCTTATATAAAAACACTTCATATAATTGAGTAAGTGTTTAGAATTATTATTAGTATTACTTGTCATGATGCTATAATAAAATAAGAAAATTTTTACTTAATACGGGAGGATATACATATCCTCCCTATATATTCACGTGATTTATTCATGTGATTTCGATTTGCCGTAAACAACTTTATTTTATTAAATTAAAATATAACGCATATGCTGATTAAATAACAAATAAAACTATCTAAATATTTTCTTTATCTTGTTCTTTATTTTTTGAAGGGCAATTTCTTGAGTCATGATACCATGACTTACATAGAGCACATTGCCGCTTGTTTTTCTTTCTTGATCCTTCCGAAACTTCGTCCTGATCTTGATTTCTTGAATTTGCATTTCTATTAGAACGATTTTCAATAGCCGACAAATATCTCTTATTTGCAGGTCGGCCTTTGCCTTTGTGTTGAATTGGATTTGAAATACCTAAAAATTTTTCAGTTAAATCATCATCTTGTGCTGAAAGTGATAGTGTTTGTTGCTCAATAAACTGTTGTAAAAGATTTTCTAAAACTTGGTGAAAATTACTTGCAATTGCTAGATTTAAAGCCATCTAAATAAACAAGTTAAAGTATTAGTATCTATTTAAATAAAAAAAATCAAAACTAGAAGCTAAGCCCCGATACTCTCTTTTTCCTAAACTATTTTCTAACCTATGCCCTTACCCTAACCCTTACCCTAACCTAACTAACCCTAATCCTAACCCTAATCCTAACCCTAATCCTAACCCTAACCCTAACTAACCCTAATCCTAACCCTAACTAACCCTAACCCTAATCTAACCCAACCCTAATTCATATATGAAATTATTTTAAACATTCTAGGTCTAACATATGACAAGTGTTGTAATTAAAGGGTAAAAGGAGTATTTGAAAATTAAACAGTTAAAAAAATGTCAAATGAACGAAAAAAAAGAAAGAAAAAGGGTTAAACGAATGAAAAAAAGAGAAATAAAGAGCATGAGAATGAAATTTGTAAAAAAATAGTAAAAAATAGTTTAATTTATTTACAGCAAAATTCAAAATATGCGAAACACACAGAAATTTTGCTGCTGGGAACTTGCCGGCTTCCCGGCTTCCCGGCAAATCGAAAAATAAATATAGCACGTGACAAATCTATTATGTAACATCATAAAAAATTGCGTAACTGTTTCGCACATAATGCCCAAATCAAAATTGAATGGACATTTTCATTGGTTAATCATTGAAAAGATTTTGGAAGGTGTACCACACAAAAGAATAGCCGAACAACTAAATATTAGTAAACCTTCTGTTTCTAGAATATTTTCATGTTTCAAAAAATATGGGTGCGTGGATTTATCGTCTTTAGGAGGACGGTCAAGAATTCTTTCAGTTGATGATATAAAGTATTTAGAAAATCTTTTGAAAGAAAAAATAGATTGGTATATATGGGAATTACAATCTGAAATGGAGTTGTGGTTAGGCCGTCGTATTAGTTATAGCACCCTCTGGAGAGCAATACATCGTCTTGGATATACACATAAACAGGTAAAAAATTTTTTACATAGTTTAGTCATTTTTCTATAAATGCAATACTATAGTCAATTTTGGTTATTTTTAGTTATCCAAATCAGCAAGAGAGCGTAATGAAAATGATAGATTAAATTTCATAGTACATATGTCTCAATATTCTCCATTACAACTTGTATTTTCTGATGAATCAGCCTATAATCGAAGAACGCTTTCTCGTCGTTATGAATGGAGTTTTAAGGAAAGGCACGCATATAAATCTGTGTTTTTTGTTCGTGGAAAAAGATATACAATAGAAGGGGCATTATGTCTTAATGGTCTTTTAGCTTATGCAATTCAAGAAGGTCCTATGAATAGTAATGATTATAGTGATTTTATTGAAAATGTTTTGGTAATTATATTATACCGTATGTGTTTAATAATTGCATGACAATAATATGATTTTTTTCATTCAAGCTTCCTAAGATGAATGCATATCCGGGTCCCTATAGTGTTCTGGTTTTAGATAATGTATCAATACATAAAGGACAACATTTACTTAACATTTGTAATGCAAAAGGAGTACGAGTTGAATATTTGCCTCCATATTCACCGGATATAAATCCGGTATGTATTCCTATATATTTACTATAATTTTTTTTTTTATTTTTTTTAGTATTCAAAATATTTTTTTATTAAATAGATCGAGCAAGCATTTTTTTATATAAAAAACCATTTGCGTCAAAATCGAAGTTGGATTGAATCTATGCAACATCCTATACAAGGTTTAGATCTTGCATATATGACTATTAATAAAAATTTATCTAAAGCATGTTTTGAACATAGTGGATATATGTAGCAATAAAAAATCTTTTATTAATGGATTAATGGATAATAAAACTCGTTATTAATGATAGAATTATAAAAAGTTATATTAAATTCTATTAATTATCATCAAAAAGTTCATTAAAATCAATAATTATTGCTTCTATATCAATCCATAAGTTGATATGTAAGTCAAAAAATACTTCTTAAATTATCTGTTCTGATAAAAAAGTCTTTCCATCTGTATTAAGTGAAGATTTAATGACAAATCTCTTTCCCTCTGGAGGACCCATTGGGAATACATATTTAATGAGATCTTGGAAGGTCATTCCCTTAGTTATTTGAATATTTGACTTGTATGGTGATTTTTTTTTAAGATGCACAGTAGCTAAATTAGGTTTTATTTTCTTTGATAAGATTGGAGTTTCAATTGGAGAATCTTTAAAAATATGTGTTAAAATAAATAATTAATACAAAAAAACAAAAAACTATAAAATATAAATACCATCAGTGGAAATAATATTATTGTGATCTTCCAAAGGTCTTTTAGAGTTTGGATAACGGTAATTAATTTTATCAAAAAGCTTAGTTAATGGTGGATGAGTTGCATCAACTCCATTGATTTTAGAAAGCTAATAATATAAAAATAAAATATGTTAATTAGGTAATATTTAAATATTAATTGTTTACTTACTATTGCTCTTGCCCAAATTATAATCATTTCATTATTTAATTTAAAATGACGTCCATCTTCTGCAATTAAACAACCTTGAAGATAATATTCGCATTTAGGAAGATTTTTATATATTTCTAATTTTGTAATATTCAATGGTGAACCAGAATCAGATTCTGACGTCTAAATTTAAATTAAAAATTTTTTATTAATTACAAATAAATATATGTATATTATAAAATATATGAATAATAAAAAATAATTATTGATACACGAAGTTTTTTTGATACAGGCTCCTCTATATCATCATCCTCAACCACAGAACTTCCATAAATTATTTCTTTTCTCTTATATTGTCTTTCAGAATATACACATAATTGCATCTTCTTATTTTTTTTCCATTCCGCAACAAATGCCACAATAGAATCACTTGATTTTAAATTAAAGTGATCTGCTTTAGGATTAGAACTTTTTTGATAACATATGAGACCAATTTCTATTTTTCCCCATTCTTTTGGAAGGTTACGAGATAAAATCTCTTCTTCAATTTGACCAAATGTAGTCAAATTATTTAAATCATAGGGTATGTCAATTGCACCATCAAGTTTTTTTCGTGGTTGTTTAAGTTTGTCAAAACAAACTAATGGAATATATCCTAAATCAAAATTTTGTAAGTTTATATTCATAAAAAATGTTAATGAAAATATTACTTACGTAAATCAGGTTTTGATATTTTTGACATAGATTGTACATCATTTGGTAGACTTGATGGAGCAGGTAACACATTACTTTTCAAAGCAGCTGAATCAACTGAAAAATCAATAGAATTTTCTTTCACAATAATACAATCTTCTTTCACAACAATATGGTCTCTTACAGCAATACAGTTTTCTTTCACAGAGATCAAATTATTTGGAATAAACTGCTTATTTATTGAATCTTATATATATTTGAACAAGATAAGTCTACAGTATATATTTATTATTAAAATATAACAAATTATATAAATATACCATTCTTTTTGCCACGATATTCCATCATACACCTTTGACAAATATTTACATTATTTGGAATTGGTGAAAAATCAATATTCGAAGAAATATTAGCAAAACCCCAATTAACAAATTCTAAGTCTAATGGACTTTTTTGATTTGTAGCGCCTTTTTGTGTAAGAGGTCTATGGCAAAAATCTACTACATAATCGCGTTCAACTTTTTTCCTTTTCCATATTACTACTCTTGCTTGACAAATACAATCTTGGCCATATATGTTTTGACAATCTAAGCAAATAAGGCAAATCGGACAAGCGTTCAAACGAAAGTTCAAAAAAGTCATTATTCAAGGACAGCGTAAGAAAAAGATTTTGTATCGTATGTATATTGGGTAGTTATGTACTGTACATTATATATAATTTCACGTGTTATATGCATCGTGTCACATGTTATATTTATTTTTTGATTTGCTAGCAAGCCGGGAAGCCGGCAAGCCGGCAAGTTCCTGGCAGCAAAATTTCTGTGTGTTTCGCATATTTTGAATTTTGCTGTAAATCATGACATCAGATACACAAGATTCAAGATTCGTGTAATATAATGATAATCAATTTATTTAAAGTCACGTGTTATATGACGTATATCTAATGGTAAATTTATAATATATTGATAAAATAAATATTTAATATATTTAATGTGAAGTTCAAAATACTGATCATCAACCCAAAGCGGAAAACGTCTAAAGCTGTATTTGATTATGTGATTTTAAAATTTATCTCCCCCTGCATCACATAAAGAATCACTGCTAATATGTTATATTACATAAAATTTTTGCCATATTAGGCTTTAAATGTTTAAATTTGCATATTTCTTTATTTACATTAATTAAAAGAATTAATAAAACAAATACTATAAATAAATCAAATAATTTCTGCATTATCTGAGAGGGCAAAAACAATTAATGTTTATTTTTTCTTTGTCACTTCTTTTGTTTCTCATCCTTTCTTTTTTTCTTCTAATGGTTTTAGTAGTTTATCCAGTATTTAGCAAATAACTTGAAATGAACAAATGACTCACTCAAATGACAAATCATTTAAGTCATTTAAGTCATTTGAAAAATATTAAATATTCTGAGAATTTTTACTAATTATTTTGTTGCTTTTAATTAAAGAAACAAAAATATTAAAACAAAATTGGTTTAATGTATATAATCAAAAATGTTTCAATAGTAGTAAAGATTTTTAAATTACATGATTTATTATTATTTTTACAAGTTATTATTTGTTAATAATATTATATTTACCAAAAATTATTTCTTTACTTACTGATAGTGATTTTATAAATAAGATTATTTCACTTTACTAATAATCATTTTATTCACACAGATAAAAGTTAAATAATTTTGCAATAAAATATTTAGTTGTCTTTATTTAATTATAAGATGGCTATAATATTTATTTATACATATAATTATACAATAAAATTTATATAATAAATAATATATCAAATATTATTATAATTTTAATAATTATAGTACTATTATAGTCATGTTATTTATTATTTTCAGATTATAGTAAAAAATAAATAGTTTGGTAAAATAATTCTGCTTGTGATTATTTCAATTACATGTCCTTTTTTTTGCATATCATGTGATTATAAACTGGCCAATAATCTTTAAATATTTTAATAACAAATAACCAAATAATAAAGGATAACAGTCAAATAATATTTAATCATTTGGCATTTATTTTCACAAATAACTTAAATGCCAAATACCAAATAATTGGATGTCATTTGATCAAATAACTTCTAATTTAAAAAATGGTCAAATGATTAGGTCATTTTCAAACACTGCTACTACAATTTTAATTGCAATATTTTTACTTTTTTTATACCATTTTTTAACTTCATTTTTAGCTTTTTTCACTAATATCAATTTGAAAATATAGATCTTTTCTAGCGGAAAAAAAAATTTATCAAAACTTCTTTTATATTACATCTAAGGTTGCTTGCCGAAACCTAGGGGTTTAGGCAAGATGGCGTTTCGCCAAAAAGTGAAATTCTGCCAAAACTATATTAAAGTTATATTAAAAAACTGGCGAAACTTTGGAGAAAGGCGAAACTGCTGAAACTTATTATAAATGCCGAAACTGCCGAAACTCTGCCAAAACTATAATAAATCTATAGTAAAATTTTGACGAAACTAATCGTAGGATTTTGAAGAGATTTAGACAAGCAACCTTAATTACATCCTTTATATATTATCATTTCATTAGTATAAGATTATATGTAAATGATGCCATTAGGATCTTTAATTAAAAATTAAATTATAATATAAAAATACTAGGCAAAAATTAGTAATACTATAATAAAGTTAGGCAAATTTCTTAATATATAGAAATCTAAAAAGTATAGGCAAATTTTTTTGTATTGTACTTTATTGTTAATTAACAATTCTTATATAGCAATATTATTTATTATATTACTATTGAAATTGTATTTCTTTACCTTTAATAATATTTCTAATAATCTGATTTTTAAAAAATTGTTAATATTATAGAATAATATATAGGGTTTCTAATTAAATACTAAATAGATATTTTGTTTATTTTTTAAAAGTTATTAATTTTCTCAAAACTTAATCAATATTTATTGAGTAAAGATATACAGACTGTTTACTATTATACTTACTGGATTTTTGCATCATTTATCTTTTGCAGATATCGCTATTTTTTCTGTTTATTCTTTTTAAACTTTAAAATGAAGTATTTATTATACAGAAATTTTAGTCAGTAGTTATTTGAAAAATAAATACTCTGATACAGTTTTAAAAAGGTTTTATATAAAAGCTTTAATAATATGCTTTTTTTTGATAAGATTTTTATATAATTTTATATAACTTTATAATTAGAAAATAAATAATTTAACTTTGTAATTTTATTTATAGAAATGCTTTCTTTTTAAAAAAAAAACTTTACTTTGTCTGATAAATTAAGATATATATATATATAGTGCATAAAATCTAAAAAAATTTTAATTTTTTGAATATGACATAGCAGTTTTTTAAACTTTACAAATATTAGAAATTTAAATTATATATTTTTTAATATAATAATCCAATATTTATTTTATTTTAATAAATTTAATAATATATATCTTACCAAATGCTTATAAAATCAGTATTTTATTATAAAAATAAAATATATATATAAAATATTTTCATTAAAACATTTTACTTAATTAGCAAATATTTTCAATAAGCTATATATATGATAATTTTATATAATCTATAATAAAATTATTGTTTAAATATCAAATTAATAAAATAATATAATATAGAAAATTTCTTAATTTACACAGGATATTCATACATATATTATGTGACTTTATTAAAAAATTATATAAAAAAAATTTTTTAATAAATATAATTTTAAAAGGAACATGCAGTATGTGTATTTTTATCTGTTTTGCAAGTTTATTTAAAGCGTCAAAATTGATTTTGAATGCCAATTTTGATTATTTAACAAATTCTTTTTTTTTTCCTGTTTTCGTCAAATTTAATTCTGCCCAATATTAAATGATCAGCATAGGAAATTTACTTTTTTGGAAACCTGTGTTTGAACACCCCATGTACAAATAGAAATTGCCTATAATATAAATCATAACTAATTAAATTATAAATAATAATTCTATATATTTAAATCAAAATAATAAAAATATAGATAATATTATTTCCATTTAAAATTGCTAAAAAAACTAGGGAGTTTTGGCAAATTGGTAAAATGCCAAAATAGCAAAACTTTGCCAAAACTATATTAAAATTTTATTGAAAGTTGGAGAAAAATTAAACCTAATAAAATTTATTATTGTAAATATTGAGTTGTCATTTTCTGATTTTTTAAAAAATGAAATATCATATAGAAACTGCCAAAACTATAATAAAACTATAGTAAAATCTTGGCAAAACTAATAACAATATTATATTTTTATCATATATTTAAATAAACTTTTTGTAAATAATTTATTAATAAATTATTAGTTTTTTTTTATAATAAAGAAATTTAAATTTTAACATCTTTAATAAGTAAAATTTGCAGTTATATTATATTCTATTTATATACTAGTATTATATACCATATAGTTCCAAAATTAAGCAACCCTCAAAATAAGTTATCTTCCAATCATAATATTGCTAAAATCATTTAACACTTTAAAATGGTGAACAATTTCATTAAATATTATAAATGTAAATTACTCCAAACTACAGTAACTCTTCTCTAATGATGCTATTGTATCTTCTTAACTGAAACATGAGAAACAAGATTTGCACGGTTGATTTATAGATCACAATATTGTGTTATGTTATACGGAGCAATCATTTAAATGCGCAGTTTTCTTCAGATTTTTCAAAAAAAATATAACCCGAAATTAAACAACCCTATAATAAATTAATTTCAGAACTATAACGGTATATTAAATAAAATTTCCAATGACTTATATTTTATTTTGTTATATAATTAAATAACTTAAATTAATAAAAGTTTATAAAAAAATATTATTATAAAAAAATCCGATCTTTTATATTAAATTATATTGATACAAAAAAAAATAATAATAATAAATATCTTTATGATATAGATCTACGTAAGTAATAAATTTTTTAATTAGTTAATAAAACGTCAACTATACATTGCTTATTTTACCTGATACAGAAATTTTTTTATAGTATAGGTTTTTTTTATATTCATTTATTATTTGTTAAGTCTTTAAAACTTTAGATTTAATGATCGGAAAAAAAATGTAAACTAAAAATAAAGTTTTTAATTACAAATATTTGTATTGCATGCATATAATAGTTAATATAGTTAATAAGAATTTTAACAAATATTGTAAATTTGTTACTCAAATTTAGCTTTTGAGGCTTATAATCCTTAAACATATAAAGATCTATGAGCTGTACAAAATATACATGATATACATTTGACACGTTATAATTTGATGTAAGGAGTAAAGGAGAAACTCCGATCGGCTCCGATCTGTCGATTTTAAATGATTAGAAATTAAAAAAACTGCGTACTAATACTGTAATAATAAATTCAACGTTAAATTTTTTTTGCACTATCCCTCCCCGTATTTTAGGGCCGGCTTATGTAGGTCCATACTTATATGTAGAGTATTCTTTGTTTGCTTTCTTGCGTATGGGATAATTTTCAAAATCAGTAACGCCGAAACCCCTGCTTGCGTTTCAGGTTGCCAAAAAAAGTCTCTTATTTTTCGTTAACGAAGGAGAACGTGAAATTGTTTATATGAATTATTTGTATGCTTCCCTTTTATCTTTTCTTTGGTGTTTAGTATAGTTTTTTTTTTCTCTCTTATTAATTCAAACACTTCTTACATTTGTTTATACTTGAAGAAACAGCTTAAAATTTTTATTACATTTTCAAGTTTTATTAGCTCAATACATGTCTGGTTCCAGAAACAATACGATGGTAGCTTCAACAAAACACAATTCAAAACCTGCTACAAGTCGATCGTCGACTACTTCTGAGCTTTTCAGCCCAGAGCGATATGCATTTTGGAATTATTTACCTACTTTGTCCTATACCTCAGTCGCCTATAACATGTTGATCGTTGTGGCAATCTTACTTGTCTTGACAATTGTATATAAGGTATTCTTTTACTCATGGTTATTGTGTGATTTAGGAAACTATGGCATAGCATGTATGCCGTTATATGATAAAAATCGTTTCGATTTGATCTGATCGATCTGATTTTTAATCAAGGTTTGAGTGTAAATTGATCATTAAACAAAATTATTTTAATGAGGGTAATGGTATTTATTGAGTTGGATCATTTAGTCATTTATTTCAGAGAGAGAATTTTTTTTAATTTGATTTGAAGAAGAATTTATTATATGTTTTGAATATCATAGTAAATTTAACTAACAAATTTCCTAATAACTTAAATTAGCATGTAGCTAAGCCCAGTTGGATACCTAGTTCCCAGCAGCTAAGCGAAAAATTTAGATTGTACATGGCTGGATCCATGGTTGGCGACTTTACACGATGGATATTCAACGATCCGATTTGGACAAGATCGCGTCAGGATGTAGTAATAGTACCAAATAAGGATGAAAAGAGTAGACGGTTGTCACTTGACATGTCATCTTCGTCCTCAACATCCTTATCACCATCTGTACTACCAACACATAATGCATCGCCTAGATCATATAAAAAGACTTCAAATTCTCGATTAACATCTCACAGGCGTCCTAGTTCGCGCCAAAAAACTCAGTCTCAAAATACTTCACATATTGAACAATCTTCAACGATTACAGAGCAAGATGAGGCAAAATCAAGTGTTACAATTCATGTTGGAGACACATTAAATTCTCGCGTTGATCCATCTCCTGTTGACAATTGTCAAGAGAGCAAAGGAGAAATCGATAAAATTGATAATAATCAAAAATTAGGAGATTTTATTCATGAAAATATTAATTCTTGGACTGAATCACAGCAAACTCCAACACCGATTTCAAATAGATGTGATAAAAATAGAGGTCTAAATTCAGATCTTACATTTTTAGAATCTACAAATAGCGGGTCTTCTAAATTGCAAAAAAAGAATTCTTTGAAAGGGCATCAAAAGCAAAGTGCTCGTAATAAAGAACAAACTGTTGGTTTAACAACTCAAGAAAGCGATGGAGAAATTGATAGTATTATTTCAGATGATCATTCTGATAGCTTGATTCAACAAAGTGACGTATCTGTACCTACCATACAGAAGAATATGCATGATTCTACTCAAGAAGAGACTTTCGTTAAAACTGGACATAAGAGACGAAGGAGGAGGACGAAAGGATCTAGGAATAATCAGCAAAAAACACAGCAAAATCAGCAAACACAAAATTCGGATCAACGTTCCTCGAAGCAAGAACAGCCAGGATCTTCACAAAAACAAGATATTTCACTACAAAGTTCTTCTAATGTACCTAAGTCACGTCATGTAAGTGAAAAAATCAATTCTAGATCGTATCATTTTTTACACGGTACATTGCATGGTCAAAATACTCATTCACAACAGCATCAGTCGAATGAGATATCGAAGTCTCGTCAGTCCGTTGAAAAGTCGAAAGCAGACATTTTGGAAAGAAATCCTCAACAACACATCGAATCTCAATCGTCACGCTCGGACCAAACGGTTTATTTTAACAAACGTACTAGTCAAATCTATCATTCTGCAAACCTGGATGATACAGCTATTCCAGCAAAAGCAACGCTCCTTGAGTCAAACAGAAAAACTGCAGTGTTCCCAAGGACGGATAATATACATTGGAAGCCAAATGTCATAACGGCACCATCTCAAGCTTCTAATTTTAATTCAAATATTTCAAATGTCCCCATATCGCGTTTTGCCACTTATGCTGATGTGATTGCTCCTCATAAATCCGCGATTATCGCTACACTTCCTCGTTCTAACACTTCGGGATTGTCCAACGGAAATAATATTACGACACCGGTCCCTGTAGCCTCTATGAATAACGCGACGAATCACCAATGGTATTCTCCATTCGGATCAGGTCTTTCAATTCAACTTACTCCGCCAGCGTCTCCCCAGAACATTCATCGTCAATTGCCTTCTACTTCGTCTTCCGTGCAATCACAAGATCGTAATCGAAATGTGATTGCGCCGCCTCCCTCGTTGTCCGCTTCAAATAATGTGTCCTCGTTTTCTTCTTCTCCGTCCTCTTCATTGTCGATGTTTACATCGTCATCCTTTCCTTCACTCTCCAATTCTCTGTCTAATCAGGACCAAAGCAAAGTTATTGCCTCCCCTGCAAACTCATCATTCAGAGAATCCCTTTTTGGAAGAAAATATCCTGTCCAGGATCAAGAAAAAGGTGAATTATCTGACGAAGATGATGATTCGAAAAGTAGGAATAAAATAATGGAAGCATCAGAATTGACCAATCAGAGGACACAGAATGACGGTGCTTTACTTGTTAGAGAAGGAAAATGCGGGGAAGGGACAAAAAAAGAGAATGTCAACTGGCGTCGTGAACAAGAATCTCAACAGCAATTCTCGTTATTTGATAAGCGGTTATCGTTCATGTATCCTTAAAATCTTAGGTACCATGAAAATGTAGTCATAGTTAAGTGAGGGATTTGTTGAGTTTTTATTTACATACCTACATTTATTCGATATCAACCTCCTAATTAGAATGATTAGAATGGTTTTTTTTGCCTTTATATTAACTAGAAGTTTTGCATTTAAAAAAATGGTTGTAAAAATTATTTTAAGTAAAAAAAAGCTTATCTTTGTATATTTTATTATACTTTATAGTATTTTTGCTTTCATAATTCTTATGTTTAGTGAATCTTGTACAGTACAATTTGTAAAAAAGTAAAATAACATCAATTTATTTAATATTACAAACTATTTAAAATAGATAAGTATAGTAACTAGTCACAATGATGGTGTGCCACAACTGTCTTTTCAAATTTTCGCAATTGCTCCACAAATCCCTGATTGGGTTTCACATTTGGTCTCTTCTCTTTAACTAAATTAAATGCTTGATTATAATGTATTTTTTGTGAATTCATCAGGTAGGCAATTACGATCGATGTAGATCGGCTTATTCCAGCTAGACAATGAACATAGACACGACCGTTTGTTGACTTTGCGTTCTCGATAAAATCAATACATTCATGAAAATGTTTAGATATATTGGACGATGGGTCGTCCGTAATATTTATCTTGAGATACCTGAGAGGAACGATTTCATTATCTACCACTTTATCATTAATTTCATTTTCTACCGCTTTATCAATAAATTTATTATCTACCGCTTTACCAATAACAACAATTCCATTATCTATCACTTTATCCCCGATTTCATTACTCTCATTTGATGAGTCATTACTTTTTTTCAAAGACTGCTCTGAATCTTTAATTTGTTTTTTTTGTTGATCCAAAAACTTTAATATTTTTTCTTCAGTTTCCCAATAATTCGAACCACCAGATAAATTGATAACGTGAGTTATTTTATTAGATAAAAGGTGCGGAAACCAACGAGCAGTTTTTGCATCACCCAAATAAAGAAATTCTGGGATAATAATATTGGGCGTGTTGCTACCTTTTGCCCCCGTTAAAGTTATATAGTCTAGTAGGTAGGAAGACATAATTCTTTTTTATTTAATTCTGCAAAGTATGAGACAACACGGTTTTGAATGTACATTTACCGTTTTTAATTGGATGATTCACATGACGTACGACTTTTGTTATTAACTAAAAATGCCGTGCAACATATATCAATTCATTGTTTGATTTCTAATTCTAGAATAAAATCATAGTGTTCTTTTTTCACAGGCTGTACTGATAAACGTCCGCGGTTCAATAACACCATATCCATCAATTTGTCCTTGTGAGCTTGCAATTCTTTAAGTGTGATAAAACGTTTGAATTTACGAACAAATTTAATATCAACCTATTATTATTAAATTATGAGTATGGATAAAAAATTTCACTATTAAAAGTCGAATTTTTTTTTATTTTCTTTTTTTTTACCATAAACCATCTTGGATTATCTTTATTTGACTTCGGATCATAATATGGATGAGACTCATCGAATGCGGTATCTACATTTTAAAGAAAAAAATTAATTATATGTCCAGTAATGTTTATTTACTTAACTTACAATCTGGATAAGCCTCTTTCACTATCTGAAAGAAAATAATATTAAAATGGTTTATGTCTATAATAATTACACAAATATTATGTATTTTGCATTATTACCTCTGCTAATCCTATAAAATATAATTAATCATATTAGGAATTATATAAATGATCCAAATTGAATTTAATAGATTTCCTTTACCTGCTAATCCGGGTGTCTTGCAATTAGAGTGATAAAATAGTACCTACATATCATAAGTATTTAAAATTGAATGATCTTAAATAGTGTCAAATAAAAGCTACATACTTTGTCTTTGACTTTCATTTTGTCTCTCATAATATTACGCGCTTCGTAATTTCTCTATAATAATAAACAATAATAATATTATTATTAAATTTAAAATAAACTATTTAAAGGAATGATTATTTATTTAAGCACATTTACCACACCATCCCATTGAGAGACACTATTGAAAACATAAGCAATAAATTAACTAATAATAAATATTTTATAATATGAATTTAGACTAATCAAATCACATTACTAACCCGTCGGGCATATCGGCCAAATCATCTATGCTAATGAAATATATATTGTTAAAAAAAAAATATATATATATATGAACAAAATCTATATTCTTTTATAAGTCTAACCTAAACTTTACATCTTTTCCCTTTACAATCCGTGAATTAGGTTCAGCTTTCATAAGCCAATATTGAAAAGTTTCTACTTGTTTATTCGAGCTTTCATCAGGAGAATTAGTTGTTTTTACACGTTTATCAAACACGGAACGAATCTCATAAACTGAAGTTCGTTTTCTCTTCTGTAATGTGAATTTAAAATAATTCTTAGTATCAATAAACTAATTTATAAAAGTATCATTTGTGTTTACCAATTCCGCGGTTTCATTTTCCTGAGACATATTTATTCAAATTTTTAATATCAACTTTAACGATAGAAACGATTGTAATGAAACGCGTCAGATCAGCAGAAATTTCGACCAGAATTATCATTTGATTATTTGAATGTATGAGTAATTATTGCAATAATAGGAATAATAGGGGCAATTTGTAAAATCATATGTTAAAGCTTATTTTTATGTTCTACTAAAACTTCTTTGGTTCTCTTATTTTAAAAGATCAGTACTTTAATATGTTGTGTAAATTGAAATAGTAGAAAATAAAGAAAATTATATTCTAATTATAATTTTACCAAAAATATTATAAATTTTATTTTCATAATAAAATACTGATTTTCACAAAGGTAATAGAAAAAAAAATTTTTAATTATAATTTGCCCAGCATATTTTTGAAAAATTCACTTATCAGTTACAATTTTAACCAATTATAACTGGTTAATAATTGTAACTGTTACTATTTTTACATATATAAAAATAATAATAATTTAAATAGCCAATTATTTTTTTTTTATTTTACTACTGGTATATAACTGAAGATTTGAATGCTAATATATTAAATAATTAGTACTACAGACTACAATATTAGGTATGAAGAATTAATTATATCATTTATTTAAAATATATAAATTATAAAAATAAACACCTTTTTTTGCAAGCATGTGATTGGTAAAATTGATAAAAATGTTTATTTTTGCAATATCACATTTTTTAAATTAATTTACTTTTTAAAATCATATTTTTTTTAATTATAATTTATTTTATTTTTTAATGTAAGGAAAAAAAATTTTTTACATATTCAAAAACAAACTTTTTAACATAATAACTAATAAAAAAAGTGTTTAAAATTTAAACGCACCTGCGTTTGAATGCACCCCCATAGTATAGCTCAAAAATGAAGTTTGTTATAGTAAGTAAAGTTGTAGAGGAGGCAAAAATACGCATATAACATGAGTTTATTTATAGGTATATAAGGTAAAAATTGTGTTTATTCAAAAATCAGAAATTTGCCAGTATCACGTGATAAAATGATCAGCATTTTTATTATATAAAAATTTCCAAAAAAGGTGTGCGTTCAAACACAGGTGCGTTCAAATTTTAATCTCATAAAAAAATTTATGTAAAAAAATGCACTTTATAATTTATATAATAAAAAAAAAACTATTAATTGTTAAATATGTTTAAAAAAACAGAAAAAATACTGCAGCAAAGCAGTTTAATTTAAATACTTTTATAATTGAAAAGTAGATTAACAAAAAAAATCATATAGAATCTAAAAGAAAATTTTTTTATTTTAAAGCAAAAATATTTTTTAAAAAAAAATCTATTATAAATATAAAACTTTTTTTTGCAATTTAATTGCTAGTTCATATATAAACAATAGACTAATTAAAATAAACACTTTGTACACATTTAGAATATATGATTTAGAGAGTGATACAAATTATTTTAAAGCATTAAAATTTATTTTTGTAAATCAATAATTACTTAAAATTAGGTAATATTTACAGATTTTAAAATTATTAAATTAAATACAAAAAAAATCCATACTTTTTTAATTAATTTTTTTTAAAGAATATATTAATATTTAAATATATATATAAAAGTATGTAAATATACAGTGAAATTTGATAAATTGGATCTTTAATTTGATAAATCAAATTTGAGCCTAAACTGAACTTTTTTGCTAAAATTAAATCACATATATTAAAATAGTTTTGATATATCAAAGTTATTAGTAAAAGTTTGATATTCAATATAAACCAATAACAGATTAATTTTCTAATTAGCTATAGTAGATAAATCAGATTATGTGATCATTAGCCAATAAAATTTAAATAATGTAATGTGGTAAATCTTAATTTTGACCAGAATTATAAAAATCTTAATTTCAGTTAAAGTTATATACCATTTATATATTCAATTAAAAATTTTCAATATATCAAAATTTTAAATTAGATATTTTTAGTAGTATAAATAAATCTAATTTATTAAATTTCACTATGTATAAAATTTGAGACTTTTAAAGCAAAAAAAAAGTGGCATATATTTATTCAAAATATTGCTAATTTTAGCTAATTGGCAATATTTAAGAATTTTTTGTAAAATTTTAAGTTTTATAGTATTAAATATTAATATTAAATATTTGAATAAAAAAGATATAATTTCAAGATTTTTTCAATAAAAAGTTTTTAAGTAATTTAATTAAAAATTGATTAATTTATTTAATTTTAATTTGTTCAATTTATAGATAGATTTTTAAAATTTTGAGTTTTATAAAATTAAAATACTTAATACTATAATTAACTGAAGTTACTTTAATATCTATATATGATTATGTAATTTTTAAATTTTAAAAATTCAAAATTATTATATAATTATCTTATAGTAGTATAAAATAAGAAAAAATGTATTTGTAACAGCCTGTTACATATCTTATTTGTAACATCCTTTTTTTAATAATAAATTTAATATGTGTTTCACAAATAAAATTTTTATATGTAAAATTTAATTTGAAAAACTTTTAATTAATGTACTTAAGACAGTTTCATAGATAAAATTTTAAGTTATAAGCAGTTTCTTGAAATTTTTTAAAAAATTCTTTTGTCTTAGTTACACAACTGATCTTTTGTTTTTGTTTACATTATGCCTGATCTTAAATTTTAATTGAATAAAATTGGAGTTGTTACAAATAAGACGTGTAACAGGCTGTTACAATTAGATTTATTCATAAAATAAAATAATATATTATTATCTGATAGAAAAAAGTGAATAACATTATTTTTACTTATTACAGGAAAATGATTGGCTGAAAATAAGCCACAAAGTGGCTTATTCAGTCAATTATTTTCCTGTAATAAGTAAAAATAATGTAATCATTTTCTATCAGTTTACAGTTATCAGTAATTTAAAGAGATTTAATAGGACCCTGAATAATACTAATATAACTTACAAATAAACTTTAAGTACTGAAGTAAAAATACATTTTATGACATAACTCTATTAATATTAAAGCTAGGAATTCGATTTTACTATTATTAGAATCCTTTCATTGAGACAAATCTAATGATATATATTTCATTAAAATTGAATCACTAATTATGTTAAAAATAGGGTATGTAGGATAATGAAATTTTGAAAACACCCTTATAATACACAACTTTTGAAAAATTTTAATATAAACTCTATGCAAACTCAAATGTGAGTTGTATCAGTATTGTTCAGGTCCTGATTTAACTAATTTTTGTAATAATTTTAAATGGTATTATTAAGTGAATTTTAATAAAAATGATGATAAACTAATGACAATCTTCCAGATATTACTTAAATAAAAATAACTATATTATCATTACCATAATTGTTTAATTAATAATTCAATATACAAAAAACATTGGTATGATATAACATTAAATATATTTGTATATGTTAATTTTAATAATAAAATACATTTAATTTTATTTGCTTTAATTAATAATGAAACTGAAAATAATTTTTCATGAATATTACAGAATCTTTACTAAACAACCAATTTTATTGAATATAAAGTTATTTTTACAGATGGTAATCCTAGTTTTATAAAAGCTATTAAAACAGTTTTTTTTTGTACTTTACATTTTGCATGTATTTATCATATTAAATAAATTTAAAAAAAAACTACAAAAAAAAACTTGAATCAAATTATAATTAATTCAAAAAAAAATTCTATAAAGTATAAAATAGTCTATATACAATTCAATTTGAATCATTATAAAATCAATTAAAAAATGATTGGATAGAAGCAACTAATTATTTAAATAAAACTTTAGAACTAATTAAAATCTTCTGAACTATAGTCAACTCCCTCTATAGTCACTTCTGTTATAGTTACATTCTACTATATAGTCATACCAGTTGAATGTTCAAAACACTTTATTATTAAAATCTATCCTATATAGTCACAATCTATCTATAGTCACTATCACACCTATCCTCAAAAATCTTATATTAAAAAGAACCGTTTATAATCACAGTTATATAAAGAATATATTAAATAACTTGGCATCTAATAATCGTACAAAGATGTATCATAGCTTGTTAGAATCGTCTCACTGAGACGAATCGAATGGTGGTAGTTTTATCCTTTTCCTTTGCAAGTGTTTACGGCCAGACCACCCATTGCCTCTTATGAGACTAATCTCGGGTCTGTGTCCTATCATCTTCAATGGGCAACCATTATACCGAGTACTTAATTCCTCAGGTAACAGCACCACTATAGAAGACATCCCCCATCGGGCCATTTTAGGCTGATCTGAAGCTAGGTACACGCCGCCTACTCATCCTATACCCATTGCATGATACTGATACTCAATTTATTTAACGACCTTTAGAGAGCATCTACTTTCATGGAGGACTTTCGACAGGTAACATCAACCATCTAGTACCCTTCCATACCACCATTTTAGGTACTAAGTCTCACTCAAAGGCCACTACAGCCCGCGATTACCTAGCACCGATAGTACAGTTGTTTACCCCAAGTGGTATACTTTGTAGTGACCACTCAGACAGGAAGTAGCAGGCATCTGTCCAGGATCACCCCTTATGGTGGGTATCAACCACCAGGGATCACCAACCAGGACCCAAGGAGTAGGGAATCGAACCCCATAGCCATGCTACCTGTTCTGTGCACGAACACCTTGGTTGGTCTAAGACCTAACAGAAGGTCTAACTACCACTAAGACATTGCACCCTCAGCTTTACCATCTAGGACGACCATCTAGCCATTACTGGCCCCAAGTGGTATCGTAGAGTGACCACCCGGACAGGAAGTCCCCCTCAAGGTATAGTAGTGACCTCAAGGACAGGACTGCGCACATACCAATGGCCTCATAGGGAACGTTAGAAGGACACCATGACCCTTAGTTGAAATGTGCGGCCTAACCGTACACACTAATTCACCATGATGCAGTCCAACTACACTAATCCCTGTACCTTCACGCTATTGGTTGTAGCGTCCGCAGTAATGTTTTATCCTTTTCCGATCACTGGCTGACGAGTTATTCAACAAAATGTTAAACATCAGCATTATAATATTTCTTGATTTCGTTTACTGCGCCATTTAAAATTTTGCTAGGTTTCTCAGTACCTAGTGATTGTGAAAAGACGATTTATAGCTCGTTGGAATCGCCTCATCGAGACAAATCGAATGGTGATAAGCTTA